ATTTACAATATTCAGTCCATTCCATTTATTTACACCCTTGCTATACTGTACTAGTATGACTTCCATATAACTTCCAACTAAACGATCTCATGTAAGTAATTTAAACCCATTATATGATTATGATTTATAAATATCACAGATTGTATGCATCTGACGAGGACCTACGAAAAAGGAAGGAATTCATGTTATTCTGTTAGAATCTTTATTCTCATTCTTTTCAAAATGATTAAGGGAACTATTCATATGAAATTTCATTATTATTTATCTAAACATAATTAAATTCATTGTGAATCACTATGTTGTTTTTCTTTCCCAAGTGTTTTTTTCCGTTATTAACTATTTTGTGCGTGTGTGTGTGTATATGTGAAATGAAGATAATTATAAGTTAAGAAGAATAAAAAGTAATAATGAAATCCTTATGTTTGTATAAATCTCTTATTATCATAGACTTAATTATATTTTGTCTAAACTAATTTCATCCATATGCTTAATTTAGGTATTTTAATAATTATAATGCAAATTGAATTATTCAACTATGATATATAATGAATGTACGAAGTGTATATAAAAATATTTAAAGTGGTATTTATATCTTTGTATTGATGTATTCTTCAGGAATTGATCTTAACTCTCGTCGCGTTAGTTACTGGGTTGCTGAGTTCAGATAGACATTCATTTGTACAGATTGGATATATATATATATATATATATATATATATATATATATATATATATATACATATATAAACGCTGTGTGGTTGAATGTTCCTGTTGTTGATGAATTAGGACTGCCATTATTCAATCTCTACTAATGTTTTTGTTCATTTTGAGTCTTGTCTGTCACAATTATTTTCTGTAAAGTCTGATGATGTTCAGCAGTGCAATCTAGGATTTGAATAAACGTATCTCTTACTAAATGATTATATCAAGACAATTAGCACAGAATATTCATATTCCAGTAGGGACTGACCAATCACAGTCTTGAACATTCTTAGTTCCTTTAAATGCTATGGTACGGCTGAGGGTAAAGAGAGTCAGCTCTTCCTCTCGAAACCCTATAACTTGTTCAACTGTATACAGCCACTCCCAAGGAAGTTCTACTCACTGCCTTTTTGTGACGGGAATGATGTTTATGAAATTGATAAGATCAAAAGCAAATTTACGGCGCTTTAATCGGGTTGGTGGATATGGAGGATCCACCTAAGGGAGCTGGAAAACCGTGATTTCAAACCAATACTGAACATGGGTTCCAGTATCCTGAAGAAACAAATGGCGTATGAACCTATTGTGGATCTCCTTATGTTGCTCCACTGCTTTTGTGGATCAAACATTTAGATCGAAGGCTCCGGGTGTGGCTCCCTAAGAAAAACACCTGCGTCGGTCTGGGCACTCGTAAAGTACCACAGCCCATATACAAATCAACTGACTTGTGTGGTGCATATATATTTGGTTCCGCTTTGTACCAATATTTATGTGTTTAAGTAAATAAATATATAACATCCATAGTAAGAAGATTTGAGCGTTTTAAAATTTTAATATACCAGTTTTAATATTTCCACAAAATGAATAGGGATAGTAGACGTAATTCAAGTTTATATTGTTTAATCAATATCTCTTATGTATGATGAATAAAGTCTACAAGAATGCAATTAAACCCATAAGTTGAGTGAAGAAATATATCTTTTCAATATATTCCTCATCAAATCTATAAAATAATCTGTTTTACAGTTAAGAACAAAGTCAACACTAAATAAATGGTATATCGTCAACATCATAATATTTTAATTAGAAAGCAGTTTTGTGGATGTTATAGTAATTTAATAGTTGAATTTATGAGTCGATTGAAGTTAAACCACTACGGAAAACCTAAAAGCATTGGACAACTGTTTCATTCTGATATGGGACTCCTCAATAATGCGCATCCATGATTCATTCGAAACCCGCTGGCAGGATGGTCAATGCGCAATGGGACGAAATGACCGTCCAGTGCTTCTAGGTTTTCCATGTTGATTAAGCTTTAGTTGACTCATGAATTCAACTACTAAATTTACAACCTTTCCTCTAAAATCATTTAGAAGTTGATCAAATGTGAAATAAGGTCTAAAGACAATATTATATAATCAGTTAATTATTAAAAACACTCATTACATTAACAACATGGATTCAGTAAGTTTAAAGTTAAGTAATTCAATATCAATATTCAATGTTATATGTAGAAGTAATAATATTATAATTAATAAAATGAGCTTAATAGAAACTAGACTATTATATTATTATGAAGAATGACAGATTATATAAGATGATATTCTAAATCAAAGCTGAATAAAGTATTGGAAATATTGAGAAAGTTTATAATGAATACGTGTTATTAGCCAATTAAGTAATATCTGTAGACCTAAAGGAAACATTATTAAATTAATCAACTTATGCATTAATTTAGAGTTTTGACAAGGAACTAATTGAAGAGGAATCTTTCTTCATTCAACTTATATTTTTTAATATGAATATAATTGACTATAGATTCATGCTTAATAATTGACATGTTTCATTATCTACTCCATATATCATTGTAACAAAAGTGCTAGTTAATCCTGTTAATTACTATATAATTATAGGCATTAAATGATATTATATAAATAATATTATTTATATGATATGTATGATACAATCCAGTTTTCAGCTTTCTAATTTAAGCTGATTGTAATAACGTTCATTAGTACAGTTATATATATATATATATATATATATATATATATATATATATATATATATAAATGTTACCATCAATCATAAATCATGATAGTTTTTGACAAATAATCCTTATCAGAAGGGGTTTTGTAGAGATTGTAGTAATTTCAATGGTTAAGATAATGAGTCAGTGCTTCCAGGTTTTCCATAGTGGTCTAACTTTAACTGACTCATGATCTTAACCATTGAAATAATCTTTAGTTAATCAATCTAATTCTTTAAAGTACTTCATTTACTTTGATAGTTTCCTTAATTTTTTATAGATGATTTTCATGAACTGATGACAAAAAATTAATGTACTATTCAAAGTTAAGAAGTACTATAAATGTATTATTTTAATATGAAAAGTATACCATTTAAGATGCATAAAAGGATTCGAAAGTTTAGTATTGACAAAAAAGGCCCATGATTGATGAATTACATACACTCAATGCATAACAACCAGCTTACTTCAATATTTTTTTAAATCTTTACATGTCATAGTTAATCAATTCAACAGTAACGTTTTTGTTTTCTTGATGTATATCACTCAAACATTTAGGATGTCACAGGAGGGAAAACAAATATCTGGTATCTTATAGACACTACAGGGTCCTTATTAAATATTGTACAAAAGTTTTCTTTCTAGTTTTTTAAATTTATTATTCCTGAAAATGAGGACGATTGACAGACTTGTTTGAGGTAAAGACCGGTGTTAGACAACGTTGTTTACTCTCACTCTCTCTCTTTCACCTGGTGGTCGACTGGATCATGAAGACGTCAACATCTGAAAGGGAAGCATGGGATGCAGTGGACATCTGGGATGCAGCTGGACGATCTGGACTTCGCAGATGATCTGGCTCTTCTATCGCAAACGCAACAACAAATGCAGGAGAAGACAACCAGTGTAGCAGCAGCCTGAGCAGCAGTAGGTCTCAGTATACACGAAGGTAAAAGCAAGATTCTCCGATACAACACAGCATGCACCAATCCAATCACAATTGACCGCGAAGATTTGGAACATGTGAAAACCTTTAAATATCTAGGAAACATCATTGATGAACACGGTGGATCTGATGCAGATGTGAAGGCGCGGGTCGGAAAAGCAAGAGTAGAATATTTACAACTGAAGAACATCTGGAACTCTAAACAACTGTCAGCCAACACCGAAGTCAGAATTTTCAATACAAAGGTTAAGACATTTCTTTCGTATGGGATGGAAACTTGGTGAACTACAAAAGGCATCATCCAGAAGACACAAGTGTTGATTAACAATTGTCTACGCAAAATACTTTGGATCTGTTGATCAGACACTACCAGCAACAATCTATTGTGGGAGAGAACAAACCAGATTCAGCGGAGGAGGAAATCAGAAAGAAGTGCTGTAAGTGGATAGGACAAACATTGAGGAAAGCACACAACTGGGTCTCAAGGCAAGCCCTTACATAAAATCCTAAAAGCCAAAGGAGAAATAGAAGACTAAAGAACACATCCCACCGAAAAATGGAGACAGACATGAGAAGAATGAACAACAATTTATGGAACTAGAAAGGAAGACGCAGGATAGAGTAGATTGGAGAATACTGGTCGGCGGCTTATGCTCCATTGAGAGTAACAGGCGTAAATAAGTAAGTAACTCCTAATAAAATCGAAAATTTATATAGTCAGCTAGAGTTCACCGATAAAAATTCCATTTGAATATATAAATCATACTTTTTATATTACTAACAAAATTAATCATTAACTTGTATACAACTTACCAATCAAATATCTTTTAGAATTCATTTGTATAGTTTTAATCATCGAATTGAGTTGATCCTTTTCCAGTTTCGCCATGTAACAATTCAATTTTAACAGATTGTTTCATAGTAAAATTATCATTATTAAACAATTATCTTGTATAATATACAAATTGTAGGCGAGACTATACTTTATGGACGGACCAATCATATATAAGGTAACAGGTATCAGATTTTGGTGCGAAATTCACTCAACCATTTGGCTTAATATAGTCTTGGCATTATGGTCGATATCGGTTTGTGATGAAATTCCTAAATCTAATTCCTAACCTTAATCATCAAATGTAAATTATAATTATAATTCCTTACAGTAATTTATAACCCTCCTTTAGTCCTAGTTATTAGGTGAGTACTCTCAAAGTCAGTCTAGCGTGGCTCAAACGTCGTTTAAAATAATAATCCCACCAAATTATATTATATTACCAAGTTAAAAAATATTTAATATACACAATTTTTTTTAATATTTATTATTAGCCTTATGGTATTAATTATGAATTGACTGCATTTATTGGTAAACGAATTGATGATAATCAACCAGCAAGGTAAGTTATGTTTGTCATCTAAAATTCTATTATTATTTTCTCTCAAGAAAAGAAATTCTCAATATTATCTTTTATAACAAAGCACAGATTGAATTCAACTAGTATTGTTTATTTGAAACTTTCCACTGATGTTTAGAATTAAAATTGATCATATGTAGATCTTGTTCAGATTGTTTCTATATTGTCTTAAGTCGCAATCCTTCTAAGCAAAGATAAATTATAGCTAGCAGTGGAGTGCAAGATGCGTGTTTCGTTTTATTTGGGACTCATTAACTTGATGTACTTACATCTCAGAGTTGATATGCACTCCACGATTCGAACTCAGTACCTTTCACTTCAAACATCATCACGTTATCTACTTAGCTATAGTTTTTACTAGTCCACTGACAATTGGAAATTATTTTAGCCATCTTCATTTTACTATATATTACTGAAAAACTTTCATTACTTTAAACTCATTATTCACCTAATTACTTCTTTTACATACGGTTGAATACAAATGTAGCCCGTCAAGATCCAAATGACACTAAGAATATTTTGTTGTGTTCCTTCAAGTGTATCCACATGTAACAAATGAATTTAAGACAAAAAACGCTTGTCTAATAATTTTCTGTCGTTAAACATGGAATATACAATAACCAAACTCCTAAATGAACAAATTTATAGACTAATCATTTTTTACCAAAATACACCATTTATTTAGTTAATTAAAATTAAAGATACATAAAATGTCCGTAAATTCAATTTGCATATACTGTGGTGTGTGCTACTGATGTCGACAGATATAAGTAGTATGTATCACCCGTCAAACATGGAATCCTTAGCGGCCGAAGGTTGAGAAAATCGGAAAGAAGAGAACGAGGAAAAAGAGTAATTGATTTGGAAACGAAGGAACAACAAAGTCTGAGATACTTGATGGATATTATACGAATGAATTATTTATTATATAGTGGTCAGATTTTACTAAAGGATTCTGTAAATTGAGTGTCCCCACTTTTGTGTTCTCGTTCACTATAATATGTTTGAAATAAAATTACAAGATTATTAATAGTTATTCATTTTTATATGATCACTTACAATGTAATTCATATTATCAGAGTTTAGATTTCACTGACAATACACAACAGTATTACCATTAACCAAACTGAAATATGTAATCAAATAACTTCAAAATACGTTTGATTGTCTACAAGTATAAATATTCTTTGGATAACTTTGAGATTCATTAACTGAAAAGATACAAGAATATTGAGTAGTTCTTCATTAAAATAATATTTTTTCAAATGATGTCATCTCATTGTACAAGGAGAATTGACTAAATAAATAGTGGTCTAGAGGTTAAGCGTTCACGCGCGTAAGACCCATAGGTCGTGGGTTCAAATCACGAGAGGTGGGATTGTGGATGCGCACTGTCGAGGAGTCCCACAATAGGACGAAATGACTGTCCAGTGCTTCCAGGTTTTCCATGGGGGTCTAGCTTTAATTGTCTGATAATCTCAACTATTGAAATATCTTTTATTATTGAAAGTGGTTATTTTCATTTCTGTTTAGTATATATCTCTTGATTCATATAATTACATTAAATACGATACTTAATGGATAATATTACTGTTAGGATATGTAGTCTGGATTCTAATTACTATTTTATAGGTGGGTTATTTGTAAAGTTACTGTCGGTTTAGTTTGTTTCAGTTCTTTTTATTGATTTCTACTTACTTTCAATTCAATGTAATTCATTGGAAAGTAGTATAAACTGTACATAAGAACTTTAGTTTAAATTTGATCAAAAAGTTTCACAGTATTTTGGGTGCCGAGTTGATGTGAGACATGAAAGTGGAAGAATGTATTAGTAAAATTTCAGCGAATGAATTTGATGTAAATTCAATATTTCACTTAGCCATCTGGTCTATGTTTTTTCAAGGAAATTTAATCAAGCATCAAAATTATGCTTCATTAAATTTTCTTGAAAAAGCTTGGATCAGATTGCTAGATAAATTCACTGAGATTTTACAAATACATACTTCTTCTTTAATAGTATAGACCGTTTCATGATTTATTTATTAAAATCTTGTCTGAATTATTCTATTCAATTTATATAATTTACACTGTAACACACTATTATATTCAGTCAATCATTTACAATACTAAAACTATTGTAAATCAAATAATATAAGATAAGTTTGTCATCAAATTAAATGAGCACCAAAGTAAAATAGGAATGTAAGCGGTTGATAGATTCAGTCAAATATACTCACTGTTGTTGAAGCAAAATGTTTGGATATCCTTACTGAATTATACAGTAATAATCATGCCATTTCTGTTCATTACTAAATATCTATTATGATCAATCTCAACAGAAATTATTATTATTATTATTATAGGTCTTCTTGAATGGGTCTATCATTGAAAATTTACCATATTTTGTTTTTAAAATACTTTTCCTCAGTAATATACTTTTCAATGTTAGATACATGTAAAATTGAGAGTTTTACTATTAGATACATTTCAATAGTTGTTTTTATGAATCAGTAAATCAATCTTGATTCACAGACAAATTATTCCGGTGAGATTATAATTTATAGATGACCTTTGAGCGATGCTAGACTGACCTTGAGTGTGTCCACTTAATAAACAGGATCAAATGAGAGTTATAATTGACAGTTGATGATTAAGGTTAAGAATTAGATTTAGGAATTTCATCACAAACTGATATCAGCTATAATGCCAATACTGTTTTAAGCCAAATAGTTGAGTGAATTTCGCGCTAAAATCCGATACCTGTTATCTTTTACATGATTAGTTCGTCCATAAATTATAGTTTCACCATTATTCCTATTTTTAAAATATTTTTGGAAATCTCATAATGGATTTGTATACGTACTCTTTTCATTCTTCTACAATACAAACACTGTGAAGGTACTATTTGTTTTGTAAATGACCTTGAAAAACCACCATTCACAGAATCCGTTTACTGTCTATGTTTTCAGTATCCTTTTGTTAATAAATTTGAAAGGCTTCACAAAGCAGCTTGTCCTAATGCTATTTGCCTGCCTAATAATAATAACTATATTCAAAATGGTCTGAAACATACCTGCTAAAACATTTATCAGTAATTGTAACATATATATTCTGTGAAATCTTCATAGCTTTACAAATTACGGCAGTCAAGCCTGCATTCAAGCTTAGGTCGTAGAAAATAAACAATCCTAGAAGTTCCTTTATTTGACATTAGTCTATTTTGAAGTGAAGTTTATTCTTCGAATTCAGTCATCTTAAACATATGAATCATTCTATCAATTATAACAATCTGAAGACAAGTGCTTTAATAATTAAATAGCATTATATTTACAATTATAAACTATTTAACTTATCACAAATAAGTCGTTGAGATCATGAGTCAATTGAAGCTAGACCACCATGGAAAACCTGAAAGCACTGGACGGTCGTTTCGTCCTAGCATAGGACTCCTCAGTAGTGAGTATCTACGATCTCGCCTCGCATGTTTCAAACTAAAGACCTATCGGTCTCGCTCGCAAACGCTTGACCACTAGACCACTGAGCTGGCCGGTATCCAACTACGTTAATGTCTAACTTCAACTAATCCACGAAATTGAGTTATACATCCACCATTATCTCCAACGAGTTACTAACTCACAACAGACCTGGTTGAACTCCACTGATCACCGCTTCTTACTAAAACTCCAAGAAATAGCTCTTGAAGCCAGTCAATAATGAGTATATGTTGATTAGTATCAGAAGAGGTTAATTTAGTTTTATTGTCTGTTAAGATTGGAGGTAAGTAACAAGATAGTTATTTTCTTAGCTCTTTTGAACTAAATATCAATGCATAATTGTGTTCAGTCAAATAACTGTAATATGATAATATGTTGTAGATTTTTTCACTGATCATTTTATGACACAATGATCCATTGAAACTTTACATTCGAACTATTTTACATTACCATAGTATCAATTATCTCAAACATTTAAGTCAATATATGTCAAACTAAGACTACAGATAGATCAAATACAGTTCAACATTATTTCTATGGTTAATTAATGATATTTAGATAAACCTTTAATTTATTTTATTTTCTATTTTCCTTAGTTCAACAGTAACAATTGTTTTAAGAAAATTAACTGCTGGACCAAAAATAACACATCGTCCTTTAGAACCTATTGTTGAATCAATTAAAAAAACTATCAATTTACCATGTCATAATGGTGAATTATTTATTCAAGCATCTATTGAAAAACCGGTAATTTTGATTAACAGTATTTCCTTTCTTGTAGTATTTTCATGAGTTGAATTTATGAGTCAATCTAAGTTAGACTACTATTGAAAATTTTAAAGAGCTGGATAGCCGTTTCATTCTAGTATGAGATTCTACAGCAGTGCACAATCACGATCTCAATGACGGAACTGGAACTCAGTGGTCTAAAGGCTAAACATTCTCACAGGAGATCGAATGCTCTTGGTTTGTGTCTCACTTTCGGGATCGTAGATGTTCTATACTAAGATCAAACACTTATCCAGTGCTTCAAGATTTTCGTTGGTAGTCTAGCTTAGATTGACCCGTGAGTTCAACTGATAGAATAATAATATTTATGAATTGAATAAACTGTGTTTACTTTTGCGTAGACAAATGATTATTTAATATTTATTCGTAATGAAGTAATTGACCTTATTCATAACGCATATTAAAGACTTCATAAAGATAGTCATTTTAATGATTTATATAAGACAATTATTGACACGTTATCAATGCTTAATGGTTGAAATACATTTTCACCAATAGTATCACAGATTCATGATTTCAATAACTGATGTACTTGTACATCTTCAACTAAGGCATAAATCTTGATATCTGCAATAAATTTAAGTAAGATGGTGGTTGGAGGTAGTAAACAGGAAACCCTGAACTCGTGTTCCGTGCTACTTGGCACTCATCAGCAAAGTGTACCTGTAATGTTGAGGGAACTGGTGCTCCCTGACGGATTCGATCCCATATCACACAGCTTCATAGTTAGAGACGTTATCACTGGGCTATCCGTATCGGGACCGACCTCCTGTGGCACTGAAATGTAATCACAATTGATTGATCACTGGGTGGTGATCAATGTCATGTGTGTCAAGTCTTTTCTAGTGCAGATCGAATGCTCGGATAGCTCAGTGGTAACGTCTCTGACTGTGAAGCTGTATGATATGGAATCGAATCCGTCAGGGAGCACCAGTTCCCTCAACATTACAGGTACACTTTGCTGATGAGTGCCAAGTAGCACGGAACACGAGTTCAGGGTTTCCTGTTGACTACCTCCAACCACCATCTTACATAAAACATAGTGAACACAGTGTCGAATTACCTAGACTAGTGGCCACATTGCAACTTGGTTAATAGCATTCAATCTGCACTAAGAAGGACTTGATACACATGACATTGATTACCATCTAGTGATAAATCAATTGGCAATCAATTTGTTTACTTAATCATTCATCAGTTTTATACCTTCAGATTGTGAGCTAGATTTTCTAAACTTCATTTTTTTAAATTTTGATTAACATTACAATGTCAACTTATTCATATTTATTTGATCTTGCAGTAGTGATAAGAATTGAGACAATGTTAACTGATTTAATATCGTTTATTATCATCTTCATTCATAATACATTTCCTACCACTGATTGGTGTTTATTCGTTCAGGAAAAAAGCAGGCAAATAACTCGATTAGTTTTAAGTGTATAAACTGATGATAAACTCAATACTACTAATTTATTCTGAAAAATGTTTAAAACTGACACATAAATCAACTAGGAATTATACTTTTATGTTAGAATACAGCTGACAATGATATTTTATGATTTGGATCACGAATCGATTGATGATGAGATCATGAGTCAATTAAAGCTAGACCACCACGGAAAATCTGGAAGTATTGGGCAGCAGTTTGGTTCTAGTATGAGACTCCTTGTCAGTGCGCACTCACGATCCCTCATGTGCGACTCGGGCCCAGGACCTTCCGTTTTGTGCAAGAACACCTAATCTTTAGACCACTGAACTGGCATCCAACAGTGTTAATGTTTAACCTCAACTAATCCACGATATTGCGCGACCATCTTCCATTGCCTGAGTTAGATACCTGTCTCTACTTGACATGAATTAGCTCCAATCAATCGATTCATGATCTCGATCAAAAACTTAATAAACCCCACAACCTCATCCTGATAATTACATTTTTATTGTATAATTTTCATTCCTCACCAGGATAACTAGCTTTAGGCCTGAATATAATCTAATTCATTTTTGTATTGGTTATTTGAATCTTCCCATTGCTGTTTAGGCTTGCAGTTACATACAGGTGCATCCAGCTGATGAGTCCCAAGTAGAAAGGAATGCGCATACTAGATTCCAGTGCCAGCTACTGCCATCTCTGCTGAACATAATTTATCCATGATTCACACATGATTACTTCTATTCAGTAGTTGATAATGTAGTCACATGTATATTAGTTTTTATTAATGACAGAAATTTGTCTTGTAATGTAAAAGTCTGATGAACTTCTTAACACTAAGGTGAATAATTAAAAAAATAAATGTCATAATACCGTAAATGTTTTCTATGTATAATCAACTGGCTGCTGTCTAAATTGACTTTTAAAAGATATAGAAATGAAACTACTCAAAATCAAAGGTGGATAGTGGCTAGCAGTGGAATCCAGGACGTGCGTTTCGTCCTATTTGGGACTCGTCAGCTGGGTGTACCTACATCTCAGAGTTGATGTTCACTCCGGGACTCGAACGCAGTACCGTCCGCTTCAAACGCCATCACGTTATCCACTTAACTACTGAGTCCTGATAAGAGACTGAACAATTTCAGTTCTAAACATCAATGGGAAGATTCAAACAAATAAAAAACAAAAACAATATCAAGTGAACTACTCAAAATCGCTTAAATTTTTGATTCTATTGTAAAACTTTGATCTATGGTGTCAACCAAATGGATTTTACCTCTATATTGATTGAGATTTTGAACCACTGTCGTAAACCTGGAAGCACTGGACGGCAGTTTCATCCCGTTGTGGAACTCCTCAGCAGTGCACATCCATGATCCCGCTCGCGGGGTTCGAACACAGGACCTTCAGTCTCGCGCACGAACGCTTAACTTACTAGACCACTGAGCCGCATCCAACGGTGTTAATGTCTAACCTCAAGCAATCCAAGAAATTGTGCGACCATCTCCCATTGTACTGAGGTAGATACCTGTCTCTACCCGACACGGATTAACTCCACTGGTCACGATTCCTCACTAGAACTCCGAGAATTCCCTCACGAAGTTAGTCAACAGTGAGCACATGATAATTATCAGTAGAGGTTATCGATAAAATCATTTAATCTCGAGGTAATATCACAAACTGACCAGATTTAAAAATACCCAGCAATGAATTCAGTGAATTGAGCCTATTGTGCTTGTTATAAAAGCAAAACATTATCCATTTCAAATTATATATATCAGATTTGGTAATATGAAAAGTTGATTCTTTACAAGATATATTGTCAGATTTTCAAATATGGATTTTTTTAGCCTAAGGAATGAATAACGAGATTATACAAACAGTTTCTATGTCCAATACATTTCACTGGGTGGCACTAAGAGTTTTTCGTCATGAATTTATCATTAGTTGGTCGGTTTTTTTTTTGAAATTTTCTTCCTTTGTTTTTCCATCTTTAGTTATATAACATCTGGTTTATCAAAACATTTGTTAGTTTAAACGTAGCGTTACTGGAATTGTAAACTGTAGTTTTTTTTATTGAACACGGATATTGTGTATAACTACATGTTAGTATTCACTAATTTCTACATTCTTATTAAACTGTAAATGAGATACACCTATTTAAAGCATAACTATCACATATTTTGAATATGTAAACGTCTTTAAGAAATGGTGGATTGATGAGTTTCAAATTAAGGAACTCATACAATGAAGTATACAGTGAGAAATATATAACTACACACTGTGACTCCTATTACTTAACATAGTCATGTATATTATCCTGAATGAACATTTGATATTAAAAGTCTATTTATTGGTGATTTTTGAATTGATTCTTAATGGATACCTGTTTTTCCACAAAAAAAGAACGTTTATACACTATCACTTATACATATTTTTTCTGTTTGCAGCAATGATTACTTAGTAAGATATAGCATTATAACGTAATACACTTGGTATTGTTTTGCTTGTATGTTCCCATTGAGATTTTAGACAGCGATTGATCAGTCTGTTATTGGCATATGTGGATACTATGCATTTGCTTTGATATTGCCTTAATTCATAAGCTTTTATAAGCAAAGATGGATAGTGGCTAGCAATGGAATCCGGGACGCGCGTTTCGTCCTATGAGACTTCCCTTTAAGATGCAGGTACATCCAGCTGACGAGTCTCAAACAGGACGAAGCTTGTGAACTATGGCAATATCGAGGCATACGTATAGTATGCACATATGCCAATAACAGACTGATCAATTGCAGTCTTAAACCTCAATGGGAAGATACAAGCACGAATTTAAATTCACCCCAATGCACTAGCAGGCGGGTAACAGAAATCAATAGCTGAGTGGATAACGCGATGGTGTTTGAAGAGAATGGTACTAGGTTCGAGTCCCAGAGTGAACATTAACTCTGAGATGCAGATACATACAGTCCTGGATTCCACTGCTAGCCACTATCCATCTTCGCTTATAACATAATAGTCTATCATCATCTATGACATTGTAAAGTATCCACTGACGATATTTTTAGTTTGATAGTAATAACTTTAGTTGAAATAGTCAATTTTAACGAGAAGCTTTCATGTAAGAGCAATATATCTAGATGTTTCATTCATGGAATGGTTTGTGAATTAAATATCAAAGTAGTTTAGGTACTAAATTAATGAATTTTCACCACTTAATCAGTAACTAATATTTACTTTTATTAGCTTCCAATCATTTACAAAGTAGTCGGATATTCCCTAATGATGTTATTTTGTTATGAAAAAAAATTTGGAAACTATATAGAATAATAAATAGAAAATCACATGATCAAATCATAACTTTTTACTCATCAGTCACAAGTCTGATAATGGATTTCTAAATATCCAAATCAAATTCTTGATTGATAGAAGATGACTCTTATCTGGATCTGGACAGGAACTCATCTATTTTATATTGAAGGAGAATTATGTAACATTCAAACGAACTAGAATTGAAAATATTGATTAATAGATTTGTAATCAAGTTGTAAAGTTTGTGACGAATCAAATATGTTTGTTAAATTTTATTTGTGAATTCATTGTAGTGAACTACTTCACAGTTTTAAATAAGAGTGATACTGTGTTTTTGAAAGTCTATTTCTGTGTTACAAAATCCAGTGATATTTCTATTTCGGCCAATTTCTTTACTCTTCTAGAATTAGATTCTCTATGTTCAATAATAATTTCGTCAGAAAGTTCTGATGTAGTACAGTAACTTGAACAAATGCAAATATTCACTTGATATTGTTTTACTTGAATCTTCCCATTGATGTTTAGGACTGCACTTGATCAGTCTCTTATTGACATGTGTGCGTGTTGCCTTGATATTGTCTTAATTTACAAGCATTATAAGTGGTTATCAGGTCTCAGTAGCTAAGTGGATAACGCGATAGCGATTAGAGTGAACGGTACTGGGTTTGAGTCAAGGAGTGAACATCAACTCTGAGATGCAGGTACACCCAGCTGACGAGCCCCAAATAGAACGAAACGCGCGTCCTGGATTGCACTACCAGTTTTTATCCATCTTTTCTTAAAATGAACATATGTTTATCTACCTTGCGTCAATGTAGTTTATGACTAACTGACTGTGTAAAAGAGACTAAGACCTATTCTAAACCACTCATTTATAAATTAACTCCATAATAAAGAGGTTCACAAGTTTTTTTATAATAGAAATTTTATTATTTAAATACGTCATCAGTTGTATAATAAGCATGAAATGTTATAATCCATTTATTTAAATAATATGAATTGTAAGGTATGTCGAACAGTAATTTCAGAGAAATAACGTCGTAATGTTTAAAGATAGATTGTGGCTAGTGAAATCCGTGACGCACGTATCGTCCTATTTGAGAATCGTCAGCCGAATGAACCTGCATCTCAGACTTGACGTTCAGTCCACGACTCGAACTCAGTACCGTTCGCATTGAATGCCATCACGTTATCCACTAAGATACTGAGTCCAGATAGCAACTATCCATCTATGCTTAGAATGCTTGTAAATTAAGGCAATATCGTGCGATCCGCACCAGATGCACATATGCCAATAACAGATTGTTCAATAACAGTCATAAACATCAATGGGAAGATTCAAATAAAACAATAAAAAAATGAATCACCGCAATTATTGTCCATCCCAGTTTTTGTAACTAATTACTAAATAGATGATATAATTTGATATGGACAAATCAGTTCGTTGCTTTTATTACTAACAATTCATTGATTAAGAAAAAGGACTGGTAGGTCTTGGGTTCGAATCTCGCGGGAGGCATGGTCGTGGATGCACACTGTTGAGGAGTCTCCTAATAGGACTAAACGGCCGTCTAGTGTTTTCAGGTTTTCAATGGTGGTCTAGCTTCAATTGACTCATGATTCCAACCAATGAAAAATGAAAAGTATTTAGCTACTATAATTATTAAAAATCTATTTGAAACTATACAAAATCGATTCATAATTCATCCACTGATTTACAGGGATTACATGTTTAATTAAAAATCTAGTGTTATATACATGCATATTATAAACATATATCTTGCATAAACATTGACAAATACCATTCAACGTTCAATAACGTTCAAATTTATTACTTTATTATCTTTTTCAGTTGTATTATCATGATGAATCTGTGTGTGTATCAATAGTATTGGATAATTTATGTCAATTACCTGTTAGGAAGTTACAAGTAGCAAGTAAATTCATATTTATTCTTAAACATTATCATTTACAGTTAACTGAATTTGATGATTTAATTTTTAAAGTAAAAATAAATTATGCAACCTATGTTAATTCGTTTCATTTTGTGTATGTTGAAAAGTGTTTATTTATACATTCAGTTTAAGAAAAAATGTAATTTGTCCTACTGTATCATGCACTACTTATGCAGATGGATATAAATAATATGTAGCAGGAATTGAAAGTAGAATGGTTATCAGAAGAAGACTGAAATAAAGTGAAGAGGACAAGAAAGGAAAAGCAATCAAAAGAACAACGAAATTGGAAGAATGATGATATATGTAAAGGACAACTAGTGAATGTTATGCAAATGATGTATTTAATGTATGATTTTCATGTTACATAAACTCACTGTTTGATTTAAAATAAAATGATACAATGGTTTACCGTACTTAAATCTTCATTCACTACAATCTTATCACTTATATGTTGATTAGCTTAACCGCTTCATTCATTGATTGCAATTCAGTTTTTAGTTTATTTTGGGATTATTATAATTATTTATTAAACTAATTCCAAGAAAATAATTTACACATGAGGCATTTTAAATACTCAAGTCCTGACAGCTTTTAGGTTTCCCATACTTCTTTTGATTGCTACATCGTTGTTATCAGGAAAATGATTATATCAGTACTTTTGTTGTCTCTTGATAACTTTCATCAACCTTCTTAATGTGTTTATTCAGTCAACAATATGCACATCTTCCTTGTGACTACCTACGTCATGATCTTCTTTACTGATTTTGTTTATATGCATCAGTTCAACTTATATTGTACTGAACAAAGATTTAAGCACGGTAAACCATTGAATCATTTTATATTAAATCAAACAGTGAGTTTATGTAACATGAAAATCATACATTAAATACATCATTTGCATAACTTTCATTAGTTGTCCTTTACATATATCATCATCCTTCCAATCTTGTTGTTATTTTGATTGCTCTTTATTTTTCGTCCTCTTCACTTTATTTCAGTCTTTTTCTGATAACCATTCTACTTTCAATTCCTGCTATATACTACTCATATCCGTTTCGTATAAGTAGTGTACACTTCAAGATTAATTCAAAGGGATCATTTATCTTGCCAAATATATTTTTTTGAAATTATTTATGATTTCATTTGTTGATCAATGTGATTTTTATTAAAAAATGAACTAAACACATTAGTTTATTTATGGAAATTGTTTTCAATCTGTAATGAACGAATATGTAGGTACAGTACCAATCAGATGATCAGAAGATTTAACTATTAGATTATATTGTATATTATAAAAACAAAATCTTATTCTAATCTTCAAGAAATACTTTTGAATACTGATTGATTTCAGAACAAAATATATACTTAAATACAAGGTGTCAATCAGTGAATACACATTTTCCTCTAGTTGTGTTTTAGTTGTATTAAATATCTATAAACTGAATCTTATGAAACTATCAGTATAGGGGTTGTGGAGATTAATACGTTTTCGATTGAGATCATGAACTGATTGGTGTTAGACCACCGTTGGAAACTTGGAAGCACTGGATGGCCGTTTCGTTCTATTGTGGGACTCAGCAGTGCAAATCCGTGTCGGGTAGAGATAGGTATCTACCTCAGTACAAGCGCGCGAACGCTTAACTTACTAGACCACTGAGCCGGCATCCAACGGTGTTAATATCCAACTTCAACCAATCCACGAAATCGCGCGACCATCTTCGATTTTACTGAAGTAGATACCTGTCTCTACCCGACACGGATTAACTCCACTGTTCACGATTCCTCACTAGAACTCCGAGAATTCCCTCACGAAGCTAGTCAATAGTGAGCACATGATAATTATCAGTATAGGGTTTTTTCTTTAAGTTAAAATACATTAATAAGAAGTAACATAAATGATAAGCTATTTTCTGACCTTATTATAAACTGACATGAAAACTTTCTGTGATATGATATCCAAATAAATTAAAAAGAAATAACATTTAATAAATGAATCTAGCTTTTAATATCTATTCTTAATTGACAGTTTAACCTCAAAGTTAGTGTGGTTCATTAAAGTAACAATATATAGATTAATTTGTGTATTGTTAGGTTAATATTGGCTAGTTGAGAGTGAAAACCTGACATAATTTTGATTAGTTAGTTGACGAAACGAATATGGTTTACAAATGTTGGTGATTATCAGTTATAGGCATTATAAGAGGGAACATTGGGGAACCGTTTACTCTCATTGTGAAACTCCAGAATTAGGACAAAAAAAACCCGATTTTCCTTGGTTTACAATAATCATAAAGTTAATGTTAGTCAATCATGTCAATTGTAAACTGAACAATTTCCATATATTACCTGTAACATTAGTGTTAATCAAACACTTACTGGTAATTGAGAGACTACGATCATTTAAATTTAAACGTATCTGATATAAAATAAATATTACTATCAATGGATGTTTGTTAGTCAGTTTCATAAACTGGCTGAAATTGAAGATGTGAACCAACGCACAGCGAATAACAGGTGTGAAGCTTGACAACAAGCTTAGCCATTCTAGGTACGTTTTGCTGTTAGATTATAGGTACATAATGCTAAAGAAATACCATATTTGGACAAAGCATCTGTTCACTGTTCCGTGTTTTAATTCAACACTTGTCTAGTTTGGGTAAATCCATTGTATAAGCTAAGAAAATTAAACCTAATTGGCTTAAGCAATGTTGTAATAATGTTTGCCCTAGTCGGTTTTTTATGTACTGCGTGTCAATACTTCCCAAGTATTGTTTCATTGTTTTGTTAGACGGTGGTTATTTGCTTAGTTTATTCCTTTCCTAAATGAATATTTTTTCTTACATTCAGTTGTACAAATTGCTGAAATTTATGTCTTGACAAAAGGAACGTATCGATCGACAGTAGATAAGCATTTCTGCAAGTAAGTAATCTTTTTTTATAAATATCTTTATGAATGTCAGTCAGTCAATCAGTCAGCTACAACGTAGGACCAGGCACATATATGCATCGGTTCAAGTTGTCATACCTCATTAGCACAGCAAGATGAACACCGGATTCATAGAAGTAGTTAATTCAGTGTTGGTAATATATGAAAGAAAGATTGCATACAAGGATATACTACAGAAAGAAAGAATTAGTTCGTAGAAAGAAAGATATGAAGAGATTTTAATCTCATAGATTAAGGGAAGACAAAGAGTGTATACACTGACGCCATTGTGATCGAATTCAAGCCATGTCACCTATGGTCTCCAACCATTGGTTACGATAGTCATGTGGACCCCAACCAAGTAGTTTGAATCTACCAATATGGTTAAGACTAGAAGTTGGTGACTTCAAGCACTGATGGCACGTCTTGGTTCGGCCGTCCCTAACTTTCTTCCAACCATTCCCAACGCTAGTCAGCATTGCGCGTCGTGGTAACCAGTGTTCAGGCATACGCAACACGTGGCCCAACCATCCTAATCGATGGAGATTTTTAACCAACTGATTTACCATCACTCCCTAATACCCTACGTTTAACCTCACTATTACTTACCCGGCAATCTCAGCAGATGTGAGCAATATTTCTAAGGCATCTGTGGTCAAATACTAGTAATATAATGATTTTTGGCTTATTGTCAAGCAAAACATTTTGAAAGATTTGATCAAATGGATTTCATATGAATAAACATGTTTTATTATCGATTTCCACTTTTCATAATGAACTGTTTTTTTTTGTTGTTGTTGGTTCAACTGAAAGGGAAGGTTGTTATACATCAAATGATCATTAATTAAACTAAACTACATTATCCAAATAGTCACGTTTTCGATTTGATAATTCTTAGGATTCATACTGATAAACAAATACTTGAACTGTCTTGTTGTGTTTTTTTTTTTTAAAAAAAAAGATAAGATTTTTCGAAAATACTTAAAATAATTTAATTTGATCAGATCGTGTTTATTTTGTTATTAGGAAGTAGAAATATCATTCAAACTTAGTTACCACGGTAAATAAATAGAAAAAAAATTATGAGTTTGACATTTCTTCAATGTGACCGCTCAGATAAATCATGTTATAAAGATGTACTAGATAAGAAAATGCTATTGTGATTTACGAATTTACCGACAGATTTCGATATTGTCCCTGTCAGTGTGTACATTATTGTTCATAAATACTGCTGGGATTGTAGAAAAAAAACTATTTACAAACAGATCGAATATTGTACCAATATACAAAAAAAAATGTTTTGATTTTAACATTAACTACAAAATAATGATATCAGTATGAGAATTTGTGGGAATCGTTTGGAATCTTAGTCGCGTACTACTGAGGAGTCTTATACTAGGACGAAACCAACGTCCAGTACTTTTAAATAGTGATCTATTTTAAAATGACTTGTTGTGAATTCAACTATATGAAAATCATTGTACAATAAGGTTGTACATATTTATTTCAGATTCATTACATTACAATAGAAAAATGCATAAATTAAATTGTCTATATATGTTTATTTGATAAACTATCCTAATATAATTGAATATCATCAAATGACAAGCGAATATTCTATCTTTCAACAAAATTGACAATAAAGTTTTCACAGAAAGGGTTTTGTGGATATTTTAGTAATTTCAATCATTAAGATCATGAGTCAGTTGAAGCTAGACCACCATGGAAAACCTGGAAGCACTGGACGGCCGTGGTGGTCTAGCTTCAACTGACTTATGATCTTAGTGATTGAAATAAAGTTTTCATTAAAATAAGCTACTGATTACGTCATACAAAAGTAACTGTCATCTTACCATAAAATTTCAAACGAATAGATCTTTATTAATTCTTGTCACTATGACAGGCTTTTTTTCACAGTTTTTCTCAATAAACTTATTTAACAACAATGATTTATTGGTTGATTCTAAAAGAATGTTTCCTATACTTTTTTTAGTGTGAAATTTTAAGATTTATCTATATTGGTTCAGTAAATCACGAGACTATTGTAACGAATATCCGGATGGCAACAACAAAAAATAGACGTCTATGAAAGTGTATACATAAATGATTTTCGGAAAGTAAAACATACCTGGCTATTAAAAGATGTTCATATCTATGAAACGGTTGTTTGAAAATATTCACCTTATGCTAAAATTCAGAACACTTAGTGAGGAATCAATCATACATTAGTATTGTTATAACTTGTGACCTGTGTGCCCTGTTTATTGTATAACGTAACGATACTGCCAATTAGAGAGTAGTGAATTATAGATCAGACTAGTGACGCCTAAAACCCGGACGAGTAGTCTAGAGTCCTTATCTGTCCTGCTTCCTGCCTAACCCTGCCTGTTAAATCCAGAACAAAAATTTCAGCCTCTTCAATATGAATCATTTATCTCAAGCATATTGGGTTTATATACCAATCAGACAGACCACGTCGTACCATGAAATATGAAAGAACATTTGTACAAGAATTAGCCAAATGTGGCTGTGAATGAGAAAGGTAGTAATTAATAGACTGGACATAACTCAAGAATGGTAAATCGTATAATAACAGTTCATAGTTCAAAATAAAGCTCACAATAAGATGGACATGAATATGAACAGTTTAGTTACTTAACAATTATACGATAAAAATATACGCATAGTATTGGTCCATAAACGGATCCCAAAAGTTATCATTCATTATACTTATCGGGATATAACAAGTAATAAGACTAAAACTTATGAGATTATATTCGAAAGCAAAACTGTGTTATACTTTAGTTATTGGTTGGTAATAGAACCTAGTAAGAATTTTTCGTTTAGTTTAAGGTTTGCCAGACATATATACCTTTATCTCATTATTTAGGCTCACGTAGAAGCTCAAATCTGTTTAAAACTCTAGATCATTATCTCTCAAACTATCACATTTAAAAGTAGCTAACTTCATTATCACTTGAATTGAAAAACAGAGGGGTCAGTTTGTTAGTTAAAGCTTATAGATCTATCATTGGCAACAATCTTATCAAACGTAGTTAATAGTGAATGTAGGATTTGTAGACTCAGGACAAGTAAAATAGAATGAAGTAAAGAATAAATGATAACAGTTTAGTAATTTAAAATTACTTATTGTTCAATTACTGATACTCAATAGAAGTGTAGTATATTCTTCTGTTTATTGTAGTCTTGCTATTGAAAATCTAACATTCAAAATATGAATTATAAACATTAATTGTTTTAAAACAATTTATTCTTCGAACAACTTATAATTTCAGATTTATATTTAAAATGAAATAGCTTTTTAAATTCATTCGGTATTGTTTACTTGAATCTTCCCATTGATGTTTAGGACTGCAATTGATCAGTCTCATATTGACATATATGCATACTGTGCGTATTGCCTCAATATTGCCGTAATTCATAGGTATTATAAGCAAAGATGGTTAGTGACTACCGATGGAATCCAGGATGCGCGTTTCGTCCTAGTTTGGGATGGTCAGCTGGATGTACCTGCATTCCAGAGTTGATGTTCACTGTGGGACCCAAAGTCGCTATCGCATTATTCACTTGGTCACTGAGTCCTGATAACCGCCTGCTTGTGAAATGGAATGAAGTGTAAATTCACTTGTTATTGTTTACTTGAATCTTTTCAAACCCAATGGCGTTTGAAGCAAACGGTATTGGGTCCAAGTCCCGGAGTGAATATTAACTCTGGGATAAATGTACATCCAGCTGACGAGTCCGAGAGAGAACAAAACGCGCATCATAGATTTCACTGCTAACCACTATCTATCTTTACTTGGAAATAGCTTTTTGTTAACGTTTTGTAGTTTGATGTTTTACTTTTCTAATTCAATTAAATGTTAATCTTTAATTCAGTTCTATAAATTAGCCATTCCTATAGATGAGATCATTTGAATGTATTTTAGATTAAGTAAAACAGAATAAAATACTCATATAGGGTACCGTTTCTTTCGGTAAAGATGCATCTTGTACACAATGTGTCACAGTAAAAGCGTCACTATATTTGATTCTTTATCATCAGCTAGTTCATGTTTACTGTCTTCACAGTAACTTCATTGCTTTCTAAATAGTATTTGTAACATTCTTTACACAATCAGAATGAAGTGAATGATTTACAGTAGGGATATTTAGTACAAATGTTTACCGTTTTCTAGTATAACTTCTAGATAGTATTTTCTCGTGTTCATATTGTTTCATTGAATATGACTTTAATTATTTTGGTCAGTATTTTATCTTGCCACATATTGTTCAATTTGTTTCAACTCATTTGATCATGAGTACTGGAAGCTAAAAGTTTTTACATTGATATTCTTATTGAAAATACTTGAAAGAACATCAATGTTATTTTTAGATAATTACAAATCAGAAATAATAGTTTGTCACATAATTCACTATTTGTATTTTTGTTTGAAACTTTCCATTACTGTTTACGACTGTAAGTGATCAGTCACTTTATGCATCTTATGCAGATTATCTCGATATTGGCATAAAACCATAAGCATTAAAAGATACTGATCTGTTGCAGTTCTAAACAACATCAATGGGAAAATTCAGACAACCAATATAAAAATGAACTAAAACTTCACTTCATTGCACAAGCTGGTAGCTATCTGAACCCCGAAGCTAAATAGATAATGTGATGACGTTTTAGGCTGACGGCACTGGGTTCAAGTTGTGGTGTGAACGTTGATTCTGAGATGCAGGTATAATTGGTTGACGATTCCTAATTAACCAGTATAAGGGTTGTGGAGATTATTAAGCTTTTGATTGACATCATGAACCGATTGATGTTAGACCACTGTTGGAAACCTGGAAGCACTGAACGGCCGTTTCATCCCATTGTGGGACTCTTCAAAAATGCGCATCCACGGTCCCGCTGGCGAGATTCAAACCCAGGGCTCAGTGGTCCAGTAGGTTAAACGTCCGCGCGTAAGATTGAAGACTCTGGGTATGAATCCTGCGAGTGGGATCTTAGATGAGCATTGCTGAAAAGTCTCACGATAAGATGAAACGGCCGTCTATAGCTTCCAGGTTTACAACAGTGGTCTAACATCAAACAGTTCATGATCTCAATCAGAAAAGACTCCTAGATAAGACAAAACGCGCGTCGTGGATTTCATTGCTAGTCACCATCCATCTCAACTGATAAGTAACCATTGACAATAAATACATAAAGATATCAATAATACACTATGTAGATTGTGACATTTCCTAATATAAAGAAAAAAATAACAGATAAATTTGTAAGTCATTAATCAAGGCCCCAGTATATATGCGAACATATTTTACGCAGAAAGTTTACAACAACAAAAATATTAGACTAAATGAAGATATTTTCAAAATTGTATATGTAAATATGATAGCTCACCAGTAATCGTTCAATCCGTATTAGGATAGTAATGATAAATCTTCTATGATTGTATATTAGATTTATATTTTAATCTGGGATCACTTCAATGATATTCTAACTTATCATGATTAATTATTCATAGAAAGTATACTTTTTAATATTAAAAAAAAAAAACAGTTAAAGATGTTAAGGTTTAGTTAACATGAATTTATCAAAAGGAATGAGAATGAATTCCAGGCATTCTTTTCGATGAATTTATACAACTATATATCTTGTAATCTAGCTTTGAATCATTAAGAATGATTATGAAAGATGAAGAATATTTATAACTTATAATGAAAATATTGAAGATTTTATGGTCTTCGAGTTGAATGATTTGGTTGTGAAGGTTTCATCATTCTTATGAACAACATCATCAGCATATATCTCAAAGAGTAATCAGACTATTCAACTCAAAGACCATAACTCTCTTAAAATAGTCAAAATTATGTACATACATACATACATACATACAATGTACTTTAAAATAAGTAAAAAAAATCAACAAATTGTGGTACTTATAGACTGTTCAAATTATTTTCCATCATAGGACCTCCCAGAAATAGTGAATTTATCAATGAATTAAAGAAAAATCTCTTTTCTTAGTCAAAAAACAGTTAGCTAAATTGTCAATGTTATATCCGGACAAGAATAAATGAGTGGTAACCGTACGGCATCACTAATGGACTAGTATTATACGTATATTCTTATTGTATGACTATTAAGTGACTATGTTATATGTATATTCATATTCCTTTCATTATAAGCTTTTATTTAATCTATTGACCATTATCATACAATTTACTATCCTTGATATATTTCTCACAATCACAGCCACTTTTTGGCTTAATCTTGTACAAATATTATTTTCTATTTTATGGTGCGATGTGGTCTGATTTGTTTATCTATAAACCTAGTATGTCTGAAATATATGATTCGTGTCGCGGAGGCTGAGATTGTCGTTCTGGAATTAACAGGTAGAGGTTAGACGGTAAAAGGATCAATAAGAACTCTGGGTTGCTCGTTCTGGTGTATCTGTCATTAGTTGGATCGTATAAATCAGGGTATCTTAATTGGAAATCGTATTTCGCAATATCGTATAGTTGAGGATGTAACCGTAAATATGAAAAGACAAAAGCAAATTCTAAGTATCAATAACCCAAACACTGTCTAGCAATATGACTTTTTGAGTATAATCAGTTCTGATGCATATTTCTATTACATAATACTTTATCCGTAAATTTTCTTTCCTTTACATCTATGATATTTGTCTTTTTTTTCTATTCTTAAATATTCTCACTTTTTTCTATACAGAGTTAATCTTCCTCAAGCTGGAGAACAACAATGGAAATATACAACAATATTAAATACTAATTTAACAGATAATCTATTAAAACGTGGTGTTGCATTAGATGGTTATATAAGACAAGAGAAAAATTGGTTAGCTTCATCAACAGTATTAAATTTATCTGAAAATTTTAAAGAATGTTTAGAAATGATGCAAAATATTAATAAAAATGTAAATAAGTAAGTAAGAATTATGATTATAAGGAGAGTTTTATGGAGATTTTAATAATTTAATAGTTGAATTCATAAGCTATTTGAAACTAGATCACGAAGAAAAATCCTGGAAGCACTGGATGGTCGTTTCGTTCTAATATGAGACTTCTTAACAGTGCCCATCCACGATCCTGCTCGCGGGATTTGAATCCAGGACTGTGGTGGAGTCATGGGTCCATACTATTAAGAAGCCCTATGCTAAGACGAACCTCTATGTTAAAGATTATAATTGCTATTAACAAACTGTAAAATTAGAAGGGGTAATAAGCTAATGATAAAATAACCAATTTCAACAAACGTCATTTGCATACAGAGATCAGAGTTGAATTGGTGTTAAAAGTAAATTAAACGATATAAAATTGTTTACAGGTACAAATGTCAAATATTAATTAGTTAATTAAATGCACTCTCCAGAAATTTTAAACATTTTTTAATGTTTAAGTTATTCAGATTTAATAATCCAATTAATCTTTAAATAAATATTATTTTTTGAGTTAGTCAGTAACAACGTAGAACTTCGTACTTACGTACATCAGTTCTAGTTACCATGCCACATTAGCACGAAGATACGATTGTCGATTGAAATCTTATAATGGTAGAGGTAGTGAGAGTATAAGCAGTAATCGGAAAGATTAGGGTTTGAAGATAATATTCAAGGAGTAATTATAATATTTTACAAAGGCCAAAAATAAGGCATCTGTTAATAAAATTTGACAATGTTATGTGTTAAAAAATTGGTGCACTTTTGCATCTGTTACGATATATATATATATATATATATATATATATATATATACTTAAAAAATTGTATTATTTACAAATCAGAAAGGTTATTCAATAAAGGTCAAGATGATTTGGAATAAAGTGTTCAGTCACAATAAGTATAATAGTATTATAGCAAAATCGAAAATGTAAAAAAACAAAATTGTGTAAATAAAATGCATAGTAGGAGAATTTAATCTTGTCAATTAAGAAAATAATAATAATAATGTTGTGTGAATATAATATGTAATATAGGGGTAGGGGGTGTTATCAAGGTAATTACGATCAACGAATTGGGAATGATAGATGTCAAGATTAAGATAGAGATAATCAAAAATAATTAAAAAAATAAGGAAAAAGATTAAAAAATAAAAATAAAGGAAGGGGGTAAGAGATTTAAAATATTCAGACTAGGTATTCGGTGATCCAGTCGTAGGCCAAAGTAAACATACAGGCTGGATATATTTTTTTCTAGATACACAAATTAAGACTTCTAGAGTTGATCCAGATGGCTTCGGCTATGTAAAGCTCCTTGAGGTAGATATTTTGGAACTTGATATAAAACAGAGAAAGCTTCCTCTATTTTGATATGCTGTTCACTATCTAGTAAGTGAGAAAGAATGGTGCTATTAATCGATTTGGTAACTCCTTTTCCCAACCATGCCGGTACATGTTCACGAACTCGCAAGGACAAAGCCCTCTGAGTACGGCCTATGTAACTAGCTCCACAGGAGCAGTTGAATTAGTATACACACATGGAGGAGCCCATCTTCGGTAATGTGTTCTTTAGTATATCTATTACGAAATAATGGCTATCCTGACAATTTCGTCAAAAAATACCTCGTACAAAGTAATAAGAAAAGAAGACATTGTGACATAGTCAGCAAAAAGATCTTTTATCTGAGACTTGACTTTAAAGGGGACATAACGAGTGATATTCTAACACGTCAACTCAAAAGATCTGTTGAAAGAACGTTTCATGCCGCCAAGTTACACATAATTTTCTAGACTAAACCAGTACTCACACAACTAATCAAGGGTAGGTGTCGACGCAACCCAATCCTGAAGTAACATTTCCCATTTCGAGATGGTGAATCGCATCCTGAACTTGCTTGCATTGTTGCTTACGGTGGTCAGGAGACTGTTTATTTTTTCAGCGTCTTCACCAAATAGAACTATGTCATCGGCATATTCTAAGTCAACAAGTAAATCTCCCGGTAAAAGTTCAACTCCAGGAAATTTAGATGAGGAAAGTGTTGTCTCTATAGGTATGTCAACGACAAAGTTAAACAAGAATGGAGAGAGTGAACAACCCTGACGAAAACCACTTAAGGTAGTCAATTCTGATGACAGGTCGCCATAAGCTCTCACTTGGTCAGTTGTGTTCGAGTAGAGAGCCTCTATAAGGTACTTTGGATCTATCGGAATCTCACATAAATGTAAAATCTTTGCTACCAATCGTCTAAACTTATAACTTAAGGGTATGTAAAAGGCGTTTGTTATGGAGATTACTTAGTTGAAAGATAAGTATCATTAATCTTTATGGTTATCTAATGACAATCATTCAAAATCAAGCTTAAAAGTGATGTGTTGTCGTCGATACCACTGTATTATAGTGAAAATTATGTTTAATTAACAAGGTGTAGGAATCCTGGTCGGTATCATATGCTCTACGAGAAACAGAAGGAGTAATTCAGTAATCAAGCAATAAATACTGACTAGTAGATGTGAAGCAATAGCTATGAATTCTGAAGATTCTGGGTTCGATTCATGATCAGCTGAGTGGATATGCTTAAAGAGTCACACACTCAAACAAAACAGTCGCTTAGTGCTAAATGGATTTGAATTTTTGTCTAGTTGAGATTATTCTATAATATAAAGTATCTTTATTTACCAAAATTACATTGTCGTTTGGGGTGAGACTATAATTTACGAATGAATCAATTAAATAAAAGATAACAGCTATCGCATTTTGGCAAGAAATTCACTCATCCATTTGAATAAATAAAGTTTTGACATTTTAGCTGGTGTTAGTTTGTGATGAAAACCTCAAACCTGGTTCTTAACCTTAACCATCAACTGTAAATCATAATTGTAATTCGTCACACAGGTTTATAACTCTCATTTGGTTCTAGTTATAGGTGGATACTCACAAAGTCAGTCTAGCATCGCTCAAAGGTTATGCATAATCTCATCGACAACTGTTTAACCTTTACAGTACAAATTGTCTTTTTATATCTTGGAATATTTAATTCAAATGATCTTTTTATCATAGAAAATTTCCCATAATTTTCATTTGAAACCAGTTTATAAATCAAGGCTTTTATTAATAACCGCAATACAAAATTTTATTAAAACTGAATTTTTGATAAGACTATAATTTACGGACAACCTTTGAGTGACACTGAAGTCCACCTAATAACTAGGATTAAATAAGTGTTATAAACCAGTGTGAGGAATTGGAATTATGACTAATAGTTGACTGTTAAGGTTAAGAATTTGATTTAGTGTTTTCATTACCAACTGACATCAGCTATAATGCCAAAACTCTATTTAGTCAAATGTATAAAGGAATTTCGCATCAAAATTCAAGACTCATCTGATTGGTTCGTCCATAAATTATAATATCGCTGAAGGGTTTTATAGTTTCATAGGACAGTCATTTATTTATTAGTCATTCAAAGATTCTTTTACTAAACTACTAATCACGTTTGATTGCTTCAGGTTCAATAGATTAAATGAAGCATGAATTCACAATTCATTGAGTTATATTGAGTATTTAAATAACTCAGTTATGTATATAACTTATATCTATAAATGTAATGTTCAAGACACTGCTATACTGAATGAAGAATATACCTTTCAACAAGTTCTCCTTAGATTCTACAATCATATCCAATTACTCATCGAAAAAGTAAATGACCAAGTTTAAAGCAAATATACTGTTCGAAATCATGGTATATGAATTTAAGTTAGTAAGATGAGATAAAATCAAAATCAATATAGATAATACATAGTAAAAGAGAAATAATAATACGAATACAGATCAGATCAAATATTTCAGTTGAAGATTACATCATATATTGAAGTGATATGAACTTAATAAAAAAGAATAAAATGGAATGAGTATTAATTAAGTATTAATTAAATCGTGGATGCGCACTGTTGAGGAGTCTCATACTAGGACGAAACGGTCGTACAGTGCTTCCAGGTTTTTCATGGTAGTCTAGCTTTAATTGACTTATTAATTCAACTATTCAAATGACTAAAATCTCCATAAAACCCCTTCTGATATATTAAATTAATCAATACAAATTTATTTATTTATAATTGAGCTCAAATTATAATAGAAAATAGTTAGAAATGAACATACTAATGGAATAATTTACCATGATACTTCATAAACGAATGAAGTTGAATAATAGGACGAAACGGCCGTCCAACGCTCCCAGGTTTTACCATGGTGGTCTAACTTCAACTGACTCATGATCTTAATCATTGTAATTTTTTTCTGGTTAGCGTCTTTCAGCGAGTTCGTTTCCTACAGGATGGGGTCGCTAACCGCATGCCCAACCCTCCTCCTTTATCGAGGATTGAGATCGGCAGTAGCATCAGAGGGGCTTCAGGCGGAGTTCAGATGAAGTTGAAAGTGTCATGAAATAATCGACCTTTTAAATTAATCATTTATACGGAATAAACTTTTTTATAATCAAATCAATATATAAACGGTTAGGTAACCATGATAAATATCAATTTGTTTCGAGTGTATTATTATTTCAGAACATGATTATTCACATAAAATCTGTGTGCTTTTTAAATCAATTAGTGAAGAAAATATAATTGGAAGGTTAAAATAGAAGTCAACATTTCTATATACGTATACTGATAGAAATTTATGCATTTACTGTAACAATTATAGGATGACAAATACCACACATACAAATAATAACTTCTCACTTGATAACTCTTCTCATGCTTTAATGTTATGTTCAATTATTTTAGCTCTACAGACCTGGTAATAAAAGCTAATAAGGAACTACATGGAATTGTAATTTCCTATTGTGTTCGTGTTAGATGCTGGATTGGAATCAGGTAATTCACATATTGGTGTTAATGATCCTATAATTATTCATGTTAATCACTTTTGATATGTTTGAGGGATGACGGAACCACCTAGAACTGGTGAATGGAACAAGAATCAGCAACACAACAACAAAATAAGTTAAGCTATTCCACTAAACCCTCACCCTTATAACTAGAGGGAAAAGACCGAATTCAGCAGGGGAAATATATATATATTTTTTACAGGCAGCCTGGAAGAACGAACAATAAGTACACAACTCACGCCTAAATATATAATACAAAAGTATCCATGAAAAATGTCACAAAACAGACTATTAAAAAAACAAAAGAATCAATAATGTTTAAGGTCTTTCCAGGTAGCAAGCACAATTTAAAGGTTAAAAAATGAGAGCTTTCGACGCAAATATGAGAAACCCAAATTTCTATAGTAAGATTACAAGGATGAGAAGTTTACTGAGTGATTTCTGGGGATCTAGCATCCCCAACAACTTGATACATCGTAACATGTTAGAGAAAATGTATTGAACAGCCTACTATCAAATTATAATCAGTTAGTAATAAAAATACGAAAAGGTTTATCATTAAAACAATAGTATCATTGTTTAACTAAAAAACCCGGAGACCAAATATATAAAAATGGTTAGAAGATGAATAGTTAGCTTCGAAATTAGCTTCCTTTAACTAGGTTTGGTTGGAAAAAGCAGCCAGGAATCGAACGTCATTTTTTCACCAAATTTGAATCATTCCTAATGATTATTCCCACTTTAAATAAGTCATTTGCAAGAAAAAGCAAATAATGTAAATATGAAATTTTCGGATTGGTTGAGGTTAAAAATTAACACCATTCTATGCTGACTCAGTGGTCTAGAGGTTAAGTGTTCGCGAGCGGGATCGTGGATGCGCACTTCTGAGGAGTCTTACAATAGAACGAAACGGCCATCCGGTGCTTCCAGGTTTTCAATGGTGGTCTAGCTTCAGTTAACTCATGATTTCAACTATTGAAATTACTAAAATCTCCACAAAATCCCTTCTGATAATAATTAAATATTGAATTATTTTGTTATTTCACAAATTATTTATCCCATAAATTCACTTTTATAACAGATTGTCAATTCTAGTTCTTCTTTATTCATAATTATCTTTATCTGAAATATTTTGATGGAGTTTTGTTCTTTGAGGTAGATGGTTTGTGTTGTGACTTTAATATCCCGCTACTTATCACGTGATTTATTCGCCAATCGAAATACGACTTATTCACTCTTGTACTGTACTAAACCAATGACGTTCGACCGGTCTGATCAGCTTAGCGTCCTTATTGGCACTTTGTTCGCCTAACCCGTCCAGTTGAGTTCAGAACATCAATAACAGTTTCCACCATGCGAATCATTTATTTCAAACATACTTGGTTTATATACCAACCAAATAGACCACAGAGCACCATAAAGTAGGAAATAACATTTATACAAAATAAAGCCAAAAGTGGCTATGAACGTGTGAGACGATAATCAGATAACTGAGTATAACTTAACAACAGCAAATCGTATAATAATAAATTATAGATCAAAATGAAGCTTATAATAAGGGAAATATAGATATACAGAATCTTATTACTGAATAGTTATACCATAAATACCATATATAGATAATATTAGTCTATTAATAGATTTCAGAAGTTATTCGTAATTTAATCTTGGCTAGGATATAACAGTTTGATTGCGGAGTTTTCATTGTTCTTCTGAACAACATTATCAGCACAAACTTTAGATAGAAGTGAAATGTTAGAATTTCTCCACATATGACTTACAGCTTTTGTTCTGTAGAACTTGATGTTGATTAGTTCTTGTTGACCTTAGATAATTCATAACGATTACCTCATAATAATGTTACTCTCTATAATTATAGTAATTATTTTGAAAAATAATAAAATAAATACTTAAAAATAAATTTATTTAAAAGTGTAACCTTATTTTCTTCTCACTGAAACCTAATAGAAAACAGTTCGTTTCATTTTTATGTAAACTTAATGAACAATTTTATCTTCAACAAACAATAATGAATTGTATTTTCATAGTTGAATTCACAAATTAAGTTGATCTAGACCACCATTGAAAACCTGGAAGCACTGAACGTCCATTTCATCCTACCTAATAGTATGTATCCACCATCCAGTATGTGGGACTCGAACACATGACCTTAGGTCTCGCACGCTAATGCTTAATCTCTAGACCACTGAGCCGGTATTCAACGGTGTTAATGTATAACTTCAATCAATCAATGATCGGGTACAACTCCTCATTCCTTATCTGAGGTGGATAACTGTCATCACCCTACACGAATTGGGCTCCATTAGTTACGGCTTCTCACTTGAACTCCAGGAAATCCATCTTGGAGCTAGGCACTAGTGAGCACATAATTGTTATCGGTATGAGAATTCGTAGGGATTTTAGTATTCATATGGTATTAAAGTTAAATATTGACATTGTATGGTATCGGCCCAGTGATCTATAGGTTAAATGTTCGCGCGCGAGTCTGAAGGTCCTGGATTCGAGTTTCATGTACAGAATTGTGAATACGCATTACTAAGGAGTGTCATACTGGGACGAAATAGCTATGTAGTGCTCCCAGGTTCTCAATGGTAGTTTAGCTTTAGTTGACTCATGAATTTATTTTTTGTAATTATGATCTTAAAGTATTACACATGATCAGAATTCAACTCAATCAAATGAATTCATACTATTTGGTTCAAGTTACTGTTTTTTTGTTTTGATTAATTCATAATAAAGTATATGTAATTTCAATTGTTGAGATCATGAGACAATTAAAGCTAGACCACCATGGAAAACCTGGATGCACTGGATGGCCGTTTCGTCCTACTGTGGGACTCCTCAGCAGTGTGCATGCACGATCCTCGCGGGATTCGAACCCACGACCTATCAATCTCGCGCAGGAGCAAAAAATCAATAGATCACTGAGCCGGCATCCAACGGTGTTAATGTCCAACTTCAACTAATCCACGAAATTGAGCAACACACTCACCGTTACTATCTCACAACTGACCCAGTTAAACTCCACTGGTCACTGCTTCTCACTAGAACTCCAGGATATACATGTTGAAGCCAGTCATTTGTGAGTATATGTTGATTATTATCAGAAGAATGTTTTTTGGAGATTTTAGTAATTTGTATATGTATATTCTTCTGTATAGGCTGTACATTTTTATCTCTTTTTCTTTTGTACTTCACTAGCCGATGTTCATTGTACATTCCATTCTTATTGATGCAACCGGAGAAAGAATCTGAAGAAGAAGATAATCATGTAAATTGTACAAATAATCATACACTACATGTGGATATCGTTCAAATTCATGTAAATCTAATAAGTATATTAATATTTTTTCTTATAAACAGCAACTTGTGAATTAACAGTAAAGTTAAAAAAAACTTCGATTATAATTGGTTGGTTATGAAGTTAGGTTGAAGAAAATTCCTTTACATACTATTAGCAATACTCTAGAATATTGTGGAATATGGAGGAGAAGTAACTTGATTTGAAATGTATAGTTATATGAATAATAACCTAAATCCTTTTCTAGATCACCAACCAATATAAGTTGGATAGGTATTGAAAATCTGAAAGCTGTGGATAACCGCTTGATCTTACTATGACACTCTTAGAACTAGGTCATACCGGGAGTTGAGTAAATTTAGCAAAATATTACAGTTTAATTAAACTGTCAACTTATGTTTATTGTTTCCATTAAATAAAAGTAATAGATTTAAATTAAGAATCTCCAATAATTACACTGATTTGTTGATGAGACTATAATTTATGGATAACCTTTGAGCGATGCTAGACTGACTTTGTGAGTATTCACCTAATAACTAGAACCGAATGAGAGTTATAAACCTGTGTGAGGAATTACAATTATGATTTACAGTTGATGGTTAAGGTTAAGAACCAGGTTTAAGGTTTACATCACGAACTAACATCAGCTATAATCCCAAAACTCTATTTATTCAAATGGATGAGTGAATTTCTTGCCAAAATGCAATAGCTGTTATCTTATATTTGATTGGTTCATTCATAAATTATAGTCTCGCCGATTTATCAAATGACATTAAATCATAAGGTAAGTAATTAATGTTGATGACCACCACCTTAATAACAATTAGTTGGCTAACAGTCATGTTTCTAAAAACAACCAATCTAAGTTGTTAGGAAAATAACACTTATGGTATTTCATGTTTGTATGAGTTGATTAGACCATTGAAAACAGTTAATGACCAGTTAATATGTATTACAATCATTTTTTTCATTTATTATAATGTAAATCATAATAAGATTTGTATTTACAAATTATAGATCATATATACTAAATGGTTGAACTCAGCTTTAGTTAACACCTTCAATCAAGAGTCATTAAGGATCTAACTTTCATACTGTCAAATCAATTACTAAATATGATAGAAATTTTATTCATTTCGTTCAAATTTAACATGATAAATTCCCTGATTATTTAAGTAGTAAGTACTTTTGTAGAATAAATTGGGTCTACTATAAAAGAACCCTATAAGTGTAAATAGCATGGATATGAATCATGTAGTAAATCATAACACTCAAACGTTTAAGTAATAAATAAGTAAAACGAAGGACAATTAAGTAACAGCTTATTTCTCTCTCGAATCCAACTTATATATCTCAAACAAAAAGAAATTTTATTTCACTTAGAACCCATATGGTGATCAATTTATTTACATTCTTTCTTTTTTTTTCCTCCTTGTTGTTCAGGTAAGTTTTTAGTTGTGTCTTTTTATTTCAATAGTTAAGGTCATGATTCAAATGAAGTTAGGCTACCATAGAAAGCCTAAAAGCACTGGACGGTCGTTTCGTCCTATTGTAGGACTCTTCAACGATGCGCATGCACGATCCCACTCACGGGATTCGGACGCAGAACCTAACAGTCTCGTGCACGAGCGTTTAACCAACTAGACCACTGAGCCGGCATCCAATGATGTTAATGTATAACCATTGTCTTCAGTGAGCTAATATCTCACAACAGACACTATTGAACTCCAACGGTCACTACTTCTTACTAAAACTCCAGGATATATCTCTTGAAGCCAGTTACTAGTGAGTATATGTTGATTAGTATCAAAAGAGAGTTTTATGGAGATTGTAGTTATTTAATTAGTTGAGAACATGAAACAATTGAAGCTAGACAATCATTTATTTCATCTATAACTTATTATAAATACGTTTCATCATATAAAATTACTTCATATAAAAATTTATAGCGTGATTTTATCTAATTTTATCTAATCCATTCTAATAAAATTTAATGATTATTTATTTTTTTTCCCATGGAAACAAACACATTAGAAAGATCATTTTAAATTGTTTATGTATTGTGTTTGTTTGTTTTTTATTGTTGTTGTGGTGGTAAACATTAAAGCCATTTCACATTTAAATACATTTGCTTTCTGTATAAAATGAACAAATTATCTAGTTATCTATTTTATTAGTAATATATACACATAGAAACTTAAAAAATTTTTTTTATTCATTCACGTATTCTATGATGATTAAGTTAATAAGCATTGAATATTGGCTTTTAGTGACCCAAAATCTAACTTCAATAATATTATATGAATGATTGTTATTCAAGTATATATATATATATCGTCAATCCTCCTATACTATCATCGACTTAACTCACGTTAGTGAATAAGTTAAATACGGGAATGAATTTTTGAATGCGTATATTTTGTACACTCAATGATCTAGACAGGAAATCAGAGGAAGTAAGCGAAGATAACAGAGCGAAGCGAAATGATGCGCAATAGAGAAGGTATATGAGCTAATTACATTTAATCAAGTGTTAATCAATATTTATAGCCAAATAAAAATAGGTTACGGACATATGATGAGTTGGATAAGAAGTGTACACACATACGCTTACATAAAAACATTCAAGATTGATAAGTGAATAATTAACAAGATCAAAATGTGACTCAAGTAGAATGAATACATTGACTTATTCAAATGCTAGAATAAGGTATATAGGATTAACATAATAACCGACACTATATTCTGAGAACTAAGGAGAAGATAGTAAAACTCTTTTTATTAATAATACTTGAATTCATAAGTTGATTTAAGCTAGATTACCATTGATAGCCTGAAAGCACTGAACAGCATGAGACTTCTTAGCAATACGTATTCGTGGTCTTACATGCAAGACTTGAACCTAGGATGTTCGATTTTGCGTGCACAAAACACTTAACCTCTAGACTTCTCATTATACAACTCAATATATATTTCTAACATTTATTGAAATCTATCTAAAAATCCGAAATTCAGTACAGTATCATTTAATTACCTCTTCAAATAAATATAAATATCACTCATTTTTTTATACTGGTTACGTAGATGATTTCAGTTTGAAGTGAAATAATCTAATAGATTATACTGTTACCGAAAATAATTAACGCTTTAATAACCATTTATCGAATACTAGCTTATGATGCATTCCGTAGTTGAAAGATCTGTAGATTTGAAGTTTGTGCTCTTGTAGATTTTTTTCGCTTCAGAAAATTTCTAAATGGAAAAGATAATGAAACAGCTTGCAAACTTTCATATTTACTTTTATGATAAGAAGTGATACAAGCATTTAGTCATTCTACTGAATACTACAGTCATATTACAGTCAACGAGTGGAAGAATAATGGATATTCTTTTATTTCAATTAACCACTGTATTAAAATGGATTAATTTAAGCTTTCTCAATAAATTATCTATAAAGGGTATCTTTGGGATGAAATAATGTTTTTCGTTTCAGCGAAACGCAATAAACAACGTACAAAATAAGAATATACTTTAGTATTTTATGTTTAAAGCTGTTGACTAACACTGATGCATCATCACTATACAATCATTTAGTAAGTCATGTAACAACTACTTAGAGTAAGCGAAGATGGTTAGTGGCTAGTAATGGAATCTAGGACGCGCGTTTTGCCCTATTTGGGACTGATCATTTGCAGTCCTAATAATCAGTGAGAAGATTCAAGTAAACAATACCAGGTGAATTTAAACTTCACCTTATTTCATAAGCAACTGGATATCAGGACTCAGTAGTTAAGTGGATAATGCAGTAGCATTTGAAGCGAACATTACTGGTGTGGTGAATAAGAACACACGTGGAGACAATAGGATGTATTATAGCGCAAAATTACAGAACATCTCACTAAAATCTGAGAACTATACAATAAATAGTTAATTTGCAAAATATCAATCAATTGTCTCAAAATTGACTGTTCCTTTTGCAAATATCAGTCAATTGTCTCAGATTTCATTGTTCATTCATTTTCATACCGATTGTTCTCCGTTTCCGTTCTTTTCCTCTCGATCTTCTACTGAAATATATCATATGTTTGACCATCGTTATATACTATTTATGTGGATATAAATAGCTCACACCACAATGGTTTCGAGTCCCAGAGTGAACATCAACTCTGAGATACAGGTACATCCAGCTGACGAGTACCAAATTGAACGAAACGCGAGTCGTGGATTCCATTACTAGCCACTACCTATCTTTGACTATGCTTCTGAATTAAGGCAATACGCACAGTATGCACATATGACAATATTAGAGAGACTGATCAATTTCAGTCCTGAACATCAATAGCAAGATTCAAGTACATAATATCAAGTGAACTACACAGATTTTTTTTTAATTTTGTCCAGTTAAGTATTTAAATGATTCTAATTTCTATGGAATTCTAACAGATTAGACTTTTTAAACCATTGAATTCATTCTTCAATGTAAGGTAGACCACTATGGAAAGTCTGAAAACACTGTATGACTATTTCATCTTAATACAAGACTGTACAATAGTACACATCCACAATGTCACACATAGAAATTCGAACCCGAAACCTTAAGTCTCATATGTAAACATTTAGCCTCTAAACCATTGAATGGAACCAATAGTTTAACTTAGATTGATTCATGTATTCAATTGTTAAAACTATTATCATCTTCATCAATTCTCATTCTAATTAAATAAACTTTATATAAACATGTTATTATATATACTTTTATTTATTTATTATATTCAATGAATTATTTAATTATTTTATTTTAGCCTTCAGAATTAAAAGTGAATAATGATGAATTAGTGGAAATAACAAATGATAATAATGAGTATAATGTAAAATGATGTTTGTTTAAGTGAATGCATAACTTTATCATAAATAATCATTCATGTATTTATGAACAGGTTGTCAAGTGGATACAATTGAATTTGTCTAAGTTAAGTCAATGTTTTCCTTCGTTTTTTTGTTTTTTTTTTTTGGTTATCAAGTCTTTTTTTTTGGAAAAAAAAAAACAAGAATGATGCTGTTGTGTTTTTTGTTTTATTATTATTATTATTATTATTATTATTATTATTATATTAATGACATTTCATCTTAATACAATGTTTCTAGTCAGTTAATGAATTGGATCACAACTACTGATGTTATATATATATATATATATATATATATATATATATATATATATATATATATATATATATATATATATATACTATAATCCCTTTCGGCTATTATTCGTATTGATGAATAAATGTATAATAAATGCATTGTATTGTATTTTATACTTGTTACATTTATGGGATAGATTGAATGTTTATATTCTTTTGCATACTGAAAACTTGTGTAGTGGTTAGTATTCAAATATAAACATTAAATTTTGTATATTGTTCGTCCTGATAACTATCATTAGATAATGAATGCCTTAATGGTATATTAATCAAAAGGTGAATATGAAGTGTTGATTAAGTTTATTATTGCACTAAGCACAGATAAACAAATTTAGAGTTACGTTGGGCAAGCATGAAAGAGTAGTGCCGTAAGGTGAGTGAGCGAGTGAGCGAACAAGATTAAAATGTACATATATATATATACATAGTGAAATGAATGAATCATCGAATCATTTAAGCGACCAATAGTAAAGCTAACTTACTTACGCCTGTTACTCCTTGTGAAAGAGCATAGGCTACTCACCAGCATTCTCCATCTAATCCTGTCCTGGGTAATCCTTTCCAGCTCTTTCCAGTTCTTATTCATCCCTTTCATATCCGATTCTATTTCCTGACGTAATGTGTTCTTTGGCCTTCCTCTTTTCCTCTTCCTTTCAAGATTCCAAGTTAGCGCTTGTCTCGTAATGCAGTTCGATGATTTCCCCAATGTATGTCCTATCCATTTCAATCGTCTTTTCCTAATTTCTTCTTCAGCTGGAAGCTGGTTGGTTCTCTCCCACAAAAGACTGATGCTGATGGTATCCGGCCAATGGATGTTGAGTATCTTGCGTAGACAGCTATTGATAAATACTTGTACCTTCTTGATGGTGGTTGTTGTAGTTCTCCAAGTTTCAGCTTCGTACAGTAGAACTGCCTTGACGTTCGTATTGAAGATTTTGACTATGATATTGGTTGAAAGTTGTTTTGAGTTCCATATGTTCTTTAATTGAAGGAATGCTGTCCTTGCTTTGCTAATTCTCGCTTTTACGTCTGCATCTGAACCTCCTTGTTTATCGATTATGATTCCCAGGTATGTGAAGGATTCCACATCTTCCAGAGTTTCTCCATCAGTAGTAAAGCTAGTAGAATGAATATATTAGTAGGCAGTAAACAATGTTCAAGCATACATATTCATACAAGTGTAACAATAATAAAGGTACCATGATATAAATATATTGTTATTGTACGAATGACTCTGTCCGTTAAATATGTTAACAAAAGAGTTTGACAGTGTTAAATGTGAACAAACTCAATTGCACGTGAACTGCTATATTTGTAATTTGATAAATAATATATCATTATTCTCAATGATAAAAAATAATTTATTCGATACACTTTTACTTTGAATTTATGTGCTACCATTCCTATATATGGTCGATAGTCCTTTCTCCAGATGACGTTCGCGTGTGAGCACTTAACCACTAAACCACTAAGCAGGCATCCAACGGTGTTAATGTCTAACTGGATGCGCACTGCTGAGGAGTCCCACAATAGGACGAAACGGCCGTCCAGTGCTTTCAAGTTTTCCATTTTGGTTTGCCTTCAACTGACTCATGATCTTAACCATTGATATTACTAGAATCTCCACAAAACCCTTTCTGTATTGTTCTTGTAGATTTCACATTCCATTATAATATCAACTATAAAGTCTTGTCGTGTATTATGTTCAGTTCGACTGTACACTGAACTTTCCCAGTTTTCCTAAATTACTAATATGGTAACCTTTTTCATATTCCTAACGGAATTTTCTGCACTGAGGATGTTATAGAGAAGTAAACAGATATCGAGATCCAATACCTTTGGGTCACATGTTTAAATCTTTTTCTTTGAAATGGGTTTCATTATCAGTTACTAATACACTACAATTAATTTTACAACTAAATGTCTTTTTTACCGCAGTTTGAGTTAATTTTTTTACTAGGACTATTCGTGAGTGTCACTTCTGGCCAAATGCGATAGCAATCAGTTATAACTGCAGAGTAATACGAGCTTAAAAAACGATATACAGTAATAGTCGTAAATACGTTGTCATGATTTATAAGATGTAACCTTATGATTTTATGTAGGTTTATTTAAAGTAAGCTTATTTAAACGAGCAGCATGGTTTTTTTGATTTTCTGTCCTAGTCATGTTCAGTCGCAAGCCAACAAGATGCTCGACAAGCCAGTGATTTGATTTTTTTCTGTTTCTATACGGGCATCTATTTGCTGTGGAAATAATTATCCTGTAACTAAGGCACAAAAATCTCAATGTTTACTAAAATACTTGTTCTACCTTGTGAAACTCAGGAAACCTACGTTCGGATTGAATATTTTGGCCTGTTTTCATTATGCTCATAACACTTCTAAACTAACGACGAGCATGTTTTACATATTATATTCTGTCGTCATGCAACAGTTGAACAAACGGACAATCTCTATCAATCGGTGATCTTTCGAACTGTAAAATACTTTATATTCCATCCTCATGTTGTTTTTTTCAAAACAAACTACTAGAAACCAAGCCTAAAAGTGAAAACAGTAGTTGTTAAAAGTTAAGAATAAACCTGGAATAAAACAAAAGAGCTTAAACATATAGTCTCAGTGTTAAGACACTCGCAGGTGACACTGCCTAAACAGATGGGATTAGGTTATTCATCCAGGTCTAAAGCTCTTGAAATCTACACTGTAATTCAGCAAGTTGATGGAATTGACACCTGAGTGGATATATGACAACATTTGTATCACGAAGATGTCTAAGTAAATTTAAATAGTGTTCATTATGTAACTAAACATTCACAGCATGAACTACAATGTCATCTTAATATGGTCTAACAACATCAAGACCTGCTAGAATCTATTTTATGATCAACTCGGATATTGCAGACGAAACACCTCATTCAAACCACAAGAATTTGTATCTGAATAGCCCAAGTAGTAATTAGTTCATCAGAGATTTCATGCAATGGAATTCGCAAACATGTACCTTTCAGGTCTGTTTTACGTGGAAGATTTGACCTTCATAATATCAATAGTATCTTTCCAATCTTTCTATCCATACAAATTAGCTGACATAGCTACGTATTAAGCGTTTAGTATTACATCAATCGGATATTTGTAGAGACTTTAAATTATATCGACCAGATCCGCCGTCTCGTTTGAGCCTTGAGGAAGTAGACTAATCAAGAAGTTACCAGCCATTTCAACAGTTGTATTTCAGCTATTCTTACTTATTCAACATAGCAGTGTGGTAACTAAGCCCTGAACTCTGAAAATTCCACCTCAAACCTTGATCAGACGTCTGCAGATTTGCATGTCTGTATCTTCCTCAAAGTACTTCATAGAATATAAGCCAACGTCTTAAACTCTTTGATCAATGTCTTGTTAAGTAGTAGTTACTGGCAACTTAGCAGGTATCAGTGACATGGTTGAACTTGATGGTTGAAGATTAGATAGAAAGTTCATAATAAATATATTCTTTCAATGTTCCGGTGAGCTGAAAACCGTATTTCTGCCTTGCATTAATATGCTAATAGCTTCTAAGTCATTCATATACAACAATTTGTCATACTTATGTGTATATATATTCTTTATAACTTCTAGAGAACCGATGGTTAAGAGGTCTTGCAATCCTTTCGTTACGCATTTTACAACATGCTGATCATAATTGAAACCAAAGCACCAGTTTCTGATGGCATAAGTACGTTTTCAACCAACCTTTGATCCATGATCCAATAAGCTTCAGGGATGCCACACTCGATTAGTAGAGTAACGTCACTGCCTTTTAACTCAAGTCGACAGAAATTGGATTAGAGCAGTCCTAAACGTTCTCCTTCTCAGGCCTTATTGATTTATGAACCGGTGAGTTTCCTACTATAACAGTCCACTCGACGTATAAACAATGATTTCCGTCTCATTAACGGACCTCAAAGTATTTGCTTGTCAGCTGATTAACCTTCATCAGCGTGATGTAAATCGTCACATTTTCAAATGACGATTCTAAAAGTCCTAAAGTATCAAACGTGATTAGAGAGGGATATGAACAATTATCTAGTCCAGACGAGGATTAGACTCAGAATTACGCTCCTTGTTGGCGACTCTATATAGTAGCAATAACTTGCTTTCAATTGCTCACCCAAAAACACTCCAAAGTCTTACAAATTTGTGTGGCAGTGTTTGGTGCTACTCCTGACAAATCACGATATTATACGCAAGTTCGCATGATAAATTTATCCTCTATGGCCCTTTGCAAGACAAGAAAACCAGAGGCTTTTCTCTCTCACTTTTAACCACTAATAGCTAACCGCAAGATCATAGCATCAGGAATAATTTTCACTCACATGATTGTTTCCTCATTTTACACATTTTAACTTGTTTGCATCTATACTAGACAGCTGCTGCTGCGTGCAACAGGCCACTTTGCTGAAAGCTCATTTACTACTTGCAGCAATTCATTCACATCTACTGAGTATTATTTTAGCACTACTGAGTTAACTCAGAAATTATGGATAACCGACCACTTATTATCAACCATCTGTCTATTTCATCCCTTCGATCATTAACTACAGTGAGTACTATCCTACTTTACTTTCTAAAGTCCGGATTAAAGTCTACTGAGTAAGCCATTTGCTTTGATTCTATAGAACAACTCTTCGTTTAACTGGTAGCTTAGAGGAGAATTTTGCTTCATTGTGTTCTGAACTATAACATTTTGTCAAATTTATCAACAATCCCCGGTTTATTTCGTTTACCGTCTACGATAACCAGACGATGGTGGAAGTATGATTTGCTTCTCTATAGCATCTCAAGCCTTCATTTTACAATAATGTACTAGGAATAGAAGTCGATGGCTTTCGTCTTCCGTATCGGTAGCTACACACATGCCAAGCTGCCGGATGAACTTCCGGTACTTTGTTGGCCGACCATCAATATTACGTTGTTCTACTTTTAGGGGATTAAGACCCATATTGAGGAATGACATATCTACCTCTATCTTCTTTCTTTTTAGTATTTTTGGAGTCAGCTTTTTCTCTGGGATCATAATAAAAATGGTTTACAAAACAACGAACATACCCCTAAAGTTTGTCATCATAATCGGAAGCAGAAGACGCTTCAAAACTCGTATTCTCTTTTACCTTCAATGACTAACTCTCTCTAAAGGTTCAATAATTTTTTCCTTTATTTGGACTAGAAAAATATCTTTCAACATGACTGGCTGCATTTCTTCTTGATTCAGCACCGAATTTGTGACATAATTCATAATCCACTTTACTAGCATTGGTCTGCAGAGGATAACTGCTCAATTGAGAACTGAAATCACCGTAATTCCAATATTTGATGTGATCGTGGACAATCAACTACCCAAAGTAAGTATAATTTGACATGGTTCTGACGTATAATGCACAAAGCCTTTAAGAGTCACCTGTATTTAATTGATCAGTGCACAAGCCATATGTTAAATTCGATCCGTTCTAACTTGATGGGCGAAAGAAATTTTATTGAAAGTGTAAATTGACTCATACAGTACAGCTTCTGTCATATAATAAGTGATTTCTCTAGCATCAAGTAGTGTATTAAACAGTAAAAGCAATGGTTAGAAAATAAGTGTTCTTTGTCTGAGCATTCCCAAAAAAGGATCAAATATCTATCTACAAATGTTAGAGAAACCGTTTCTATCTGACAGTCAAATGTCAAATATCGCTGACGGAACCACACTGCACATTCGAGTTTTGTCAAACATGAACTCACTGTCAGTAGTCCGAGCATTATATGGTAAATTTTAACTTGAAACAGATAATAAGTCCGAGACAAGTAGGAATGTAAAATGCAAAAGATAGTTGTTAGAGTACTCTATAGCAGTTGATGCACAAGACAAAGTGGAGGGATAGGAACTGTCAATAATGTGTAATAAAACGTTTTGGAAGGATTGTCTGAGTAATTCTTTCGCTACATAATATGTGACGCGTTTTGGAGCCACCGAGATTCTTTCTTAAGTGTACAGACTTTTGAGTAAGAACCTGCATTATCAGATAACAATAATTTATTGCTCGATAGCTTCACAAGTCGTTTTCTAATTTAGGATTCTTTTATGTCGTAAAGTTTGAGGAATTTTCAGCCTTCACCCTAGAATTGATTCACTTGAGTTACAACTTTATAGATCTCGTTTCAAAATCCATTAGTTTACACAAGCACTTCACTCGCTTGCCCAATATTTGAAGATGGCTAAGTAATCAACGCACTGAGTACCAGAACGTTTAATCCTATTCTCACCTCAAATCGTTTTAAAAGAATTTCAGTAAGTGGATGGAAATGGTCTCGCTGTAGTTCTAAATGACTAAACACATTTTCGTGTGAGTGATTAGTTTCGGGAGACCCTAAACCTTGCATCGATGTAGATAAGTATCGCTAAGATCCAGATTAAATGGCCATCAGGTCAACATTTAGGTCATTGCGCACGTACAAACGGCACTGCAATTTAATTGTTTACTTTTTTCTAGGTATATACATTTCAATAAGTGATTCCAGCAACATTTCTGAGCAATTACTTCACTATGGATTTCAGAAATCATCAAGCGTATCGTGTTCTCATCAGTCGATTGTTTCATTGTCTGGGATATGAAGTTAATGAAAACAGATAATATTGGAACCATCATTGTTTCTCAAATCGTTCCTCCGTTCATTGAACTATTTATTTAATTTCATTTGAGCTTTATGCTCTTGTGCCATGTTGAAGTTCAACTATGTTCTTTTTGTTGCTATTGTACAACCTAAGAATTTCTAAGCGGATAAGAATGGAAGATATAGAACAATGCCATGAAAACTAGACTTCAGTGTAATTTTATTATTATTACATATATTCCTATTGGAGAACTATTAAGTAACTGTATTATATGTATATTCCTATTCTTTTTATCATAAGCTTTCATTTGACCTATTGGCTATAGTTATACGATTATTCGCTCCTAACTTATTCCCAATTTATTAGTTACAATCTCTCACACTCAGTCTCCTTTGCACCGACTTTGTATAATTCTTACTTCTTATTTTACGTCATGATTCACTTTGGTTTGCCAGTATGTAAACTATGTATGTATGAAATATACTATTCGTGAAATGGAGGCTGAGATTTCTTTTGGACATCAAATGAAACATAGAGTGAAGATTTAAAATAATGTCAATCACCTGTGCTGTCGTTCAAATTACCGATTTTCACGTTTCCAAGAAGTTGACTTGACAAGTATCTCATAAGACACACGCAATTAGGTATGAAAGTCGATAAATACTTAAGAGATGGTTAGGTGTGCACGCCTATTTAAAAGTCGTTGGTTCCGCGAGATCCAGAATGGATGTTACTTTATTTTACGGAGGACAAATACGATCGTCAACATTATCTCCGAGAAGATCAAGGAAATCAGTCCAGATCTGACGTTTTTGAATGTTTACAGTAATGACATGTTTTTATAAACAATGGATAACAAGATTCAGACTCTGAATTCGGTAATTTATATCCAGACTTCTGATTAAATAGTCATCAGCATGAGCGTGCATGAAGTTCAGACCATTCAATACGTCATCAATCTCCGAAAAAATAGGGCGAAATTTCTTAAAAAGCCAAAAGAGAATGATTACAGCCGTTTCATATATTTCATCCGCATCCGTGGGAGCTTGGTGAAACGCCATAGCATCTGTCAGGCCGTGGATGTATTCCAAAAGATAATAAACGCGTGTGGTTCTTCTTTATAAGGAAAGCGTGGAAAAGTTAGATATTGAGGAATACTTGGCCTAACAGTTATCGATTGGTTGGGTTTCCATATTTAAGGACAGCCTTTTTGAAGGAGCCGTAAGGTTGGAAAACATCACCAGTGAATAAACGAGGTCCAACTTATCTGTAGAAACTGCGTGTTCATGCCTTCACTACTATGAGTAATGGTGCACGTGAGTCATTTACGCCGTATGTAGCAGGACCAAGAATCATTATTGTCAGGCCAGAATGGCACGAATGAATATAGGAGGTGTAAGAGTCCTCGTTCTAAATAGTCTGGCTACTTGTTCTAACTTTATGTAGACAAAATGGATAAATAGGCAAAGAATCTGGGGGTGAAAAAATAATATCGCGATATAGGAAAATTAAAAGTGATGCATAAAGTCATCACAAGGAACAGACAGTTCATCGTTTGGTGTAACCGGGCGGTTGTATTTCACCACTGAAAATCCTACAAATATCCAGAGTTTGACAACATAGGATATGGATTAGGCTGAATCATAAGTCAGGGACGAATGAGTTCGAAGGTATGTGTTTGGAGAGTAATCGAAATGTTGAGAACCGTTCGATCTAACCTGGATAGTTGTTGAGAGGGATGAGTAGAACGGCGTACATAGTGGTAATCTGGTATGGATTTCTGGTCGAGCGCACTAACCTGGGGTGTTCCCAGGAAAGCTAATGAAGTTAGAATCAATGTCAAAGACTTACATAACTTTTCACTTTGAGGATTGATTTACCGCACAAGCTAGACTACAACCGACTGACTTCACTGAAGTTCGCGAACCATTATGTAACACAAAGAAAAAAGGTAAAAAATTGGCCTGCATGTATCAGCTCATCACAAATATACTTCATTTGTCTTCTTGGTGTTTGGTGAATAAATTGAATATTGGATATGACATGACAACGGAGTAATTTGTCATGACCGCGGTGTTTGGTCACTTTTCTTTAGACTACCTCAATGTTCGCTTAGTTATTCATCCGTTTCCCTTGAGTCATTCTCTCTACCTCGTCGCCCAATTTTTACGCAGTTTCACATGTCGTGATCATCACATGTGAGTCGAAAATGTGCTCCTATTTTAATATTAACTCAACTGTAGTTCTACGTTGATTAAGCTGATTAGCATCAAGTATCTATTGAATCATCTGCATAAAAACCCAGAAACGCTGTTCACACAGTCCGTCTCTGAATTCGAGGATCTTTTTGAAAATGGTTGAAACCCGAAAATGCTTCAATGCCATTTGTTAATGTGATATACATATAATTATCTGAAACTTGGTGAGGAAAACCATGATTCTTATTCGTGGGAATCATTTTGTGAGACATCTTTCGTTTTATCGCTGCAAGTTATGTATGATAATATATGTGGTGGTAGCAGTTTTCTTCATCATAGAGAATTTATCGAATCTTCCTCCTCGAGTCGTATACACTTATCCTGATGAACTTACCGATAAGGAGCTCTGTAGCCTGCCAGGAAGCAAAGGTATTTTTGCAACAGTTAATTTATCACTTATTAGTCTGTTGTCCGAAAAGTTATGACCTTGATCTAACCCAATATAGCTCAGATACTCCCACAGATTTTCTGAACTTGTTATATGTAGCTCAGCATGTTTGTGAGGGGAGTTGGAAACCACAATGTGTGTCTTCACAAAAAATAGCTGTCATTATACCATATAGAGAACGAGAAAAGCACCTTAAGCTACTATTACCAAGACTACATGCTCTGTTGCTACGACAAAATATGCCGTATTATGTTTTTGTAATTGAGCAGGTAAGGAGTTTATGTTGATAGAATTATTTGTAAAGGTTTTGATTTATTCTTATTATTCAGCCATTTATTTAACGTACTTATTGGATTGAGACCTATCGAATAGAAAATTGATGGAACTAGGGGAGTCGTTGAGTAGTGCAGTTTATTTACTAGTGACCTGGGCTATTCCGGTTTCTTTGTCGTTCGATGATGATCGTTATTCAGTGGAACAGTATAACGGTCTAACACTAATTACTTGAATCCCCTTTATTGTGTTGATCGAACCTTTCTCATGTATTACAACTGAAAGATATCAAGTTATCTTTACAGGACAGAAATTCGTGGATCATTCATAACTAATAAGTCACTGTACAGAATGTATACTAAGGTCTTCAAGAGAACATATGATAATTAGTCTAACCATTAGTCAGGTAAATTTAATAGCTAGTCACTAAGTGCACAACACTCGCATTTAAACGCATATTACTAATTTCTGACCAAATATAGCGTATTTAATGTATCAGAATAATATATGAAAAGTTGTAACCACATCTTATTCCTCGCAATTACAAACTTTAAGTGTAAGGAGGCACATTATTCCACCTAGAGACCTCCAACTTTGACGAGATGAAGTGGATTGTGTCACCAAGCTCGATCGAAACCTACCTCTTCTTATTGAATATTTAAAAAATACGAAAGTCAGTGATTCATTTTGAGAAGGATTGGCCATGCGTCTAGCCTATTGTAGGAAAACGGTTTATCTTGAATAAGCTTGTAATGTTATCCAAATGGTTTTGAATACAATTACAAAATAAACCGTTTGACTAACTTAGTGTCTGAAATCAAACACTCTAATCATCTGATGCTAAAACAACTCTTATGAAAAGCAAACCTTGTATAATCAGGATGATTTTAGGCCTAAAAACAAATGTGCCCATCAAATATTCATTAACATCAGGTTGTAGAGAACGGATGTAATTACCGATGCTAAACTATAGTTGAAATTCTGGACCTCAAGACAGGGTTTGAGTCCATTAACCGAGAGGTTTAGTGGCAGTGTTTTTGACTAGAAGGTGTTCTAAAAAAGTACATAAGCTTTCAAATGGTTCTGCAATTTACTAGAATCGTCAATTTCAAGGGGTTTTTATCAGAGTCGCTCACCGTTCTACTTGTGGTCTAATTTCTTGGCAGATGTATTTGAAGAAATAACACTTCATTTCAATTATATCATGTTAGTTCAACAGGGTGATTCACCTAATAATTTTCCACACGCAGATGACATGTTTTGTAAATAGTAAAAACACTGGGTTTTAATAATAACATGTATAAAATACTTTTCTGTCTCTCTAAATGAAAAATATTGCTCTGGGACTGGTCTCTGTTATTGCCTAAACTTTGATTAATGAGTCGATCGTCTTATATATCTTGTTATTCTCATCATTCCAGGTGCACTGATAACCAATAAAATCTTCGGCTGGATAGTATTCAGTTCTAAATTATTTTCAAAATGGCGTTATTATCTAGGACATTTATCTGGTTTTGCTATATACATACATATTTGAGTTTTTTTAACTAACTGATTATTTTTTTAAGGCTGGGACCACTCCTTTTAATCGTGGACTACTATTTAATGTTGGAGTTTTACATGCATTGGATATTGATTCAGATATTAATTGTTTCATCTTTCATGATGTTGATCTTTTACCTGAAAAAAGTGAAAATTTTTATATTTGTGATACAGAACTAAGACATTTATCACCTGCCGTTGATGACTTACGATATCATCCGCCGTTTGTAAACAGTGCAGGAGGTGTTGCAGCCATGTCTAAAGAAAATATTTTTAAGGTGAGGAAAAAAGACATTATGCAATGCAATAAAAATTCGGAAGTATTCTAGAATATTTGCTTTCTATTCTCAAGTATTATGTTTTGCTAAAGTCTGCAAATAAATGGTTTCTAACCTTCTAGAAAAACACCTCAAGTAGATGTGCCTTTTTAGAGGTAAATAAGGAGTTCATTTACAATAATTGTAACAGTTTCTTGTCTTTCAATTAACCAACAAAATGAAAACTGTTTCAGTGTTAAAACTATTATATTTTGGTTTATTTATTGAGTCTGTTAAAGTTAAGACATAGTATGTGATGCCTAATTCCAATGCGAGAGATAAGTTCTAAGTTAGTGACTGTTTAATTTCTCCATATATCTTCTGAATAACTTCTAGATATGTTGAATAAACCTATCTTATCTTACATCACTTGAAATTTTACAAAAATGTATTATTACAAAAATTGCTAGTTGGTTAATTTTAAAATACAGTTATCAGTATAGTTCCTCTCTAATATCAGTTTACCACGTTGTTGTTTTTAGACACAATAACTATATATTCTATTTTATAGTCGTTTAAATTCGTAGTACTCAGTCATCTCTCTATTTCAGCTTCAATATTAATACTTAGCTTAGATGATATATATTTAGTATCCAGTATAAAATGTTCAGTGATTAACTTTGAAAAGATAAGTAAATTGACAGAGCAAGAGTTACCATAAACAAATTTCATTAGAGTTTACATTTAAACATGCAAATCCGATGTATCACAATATAATATAATTAAGTAGGAATTCGATGTCTAATGGCATAAATTGACTAAAGTCTTTAATATATTCCTAAACTATTAGTTATTCAGTTAATCACATGCTCTTAAAAATGTTTATTCCTACAATTGTGGTGTGTGCTACTGATGTCGACATATATAAGTAGTATTTATCGTCAGTAAAAAGTGAAATACCTGGAGGGAGAAGTTTAAGAAAATCAAAGAGAAGAGTTAAAATGATGATTTGTTTACTGGCTTTTATGAATGTTTCCTTTAACTCATTGGAAATAAACCTTTTGAGCATTTGATGGTAATTCAAGTTTTAGCTCGTACATATCATTAGTTAAGTAAAATAAGTCATATATATATTGATTGTTGAGATCTTCCTACTGTTATTTAGGATTATAATTTATTAGTCTCTTTCGAAATATGTGGGTCTTGTGTGGATTACTTCTACAGTGTCTTTAAGTCACAAGAATGTTTAAGCAAATATGGACAGTGGGTTGTAGTGAGATCTAGTAGCTATCTGGTGTCTGTGGCTATATGGATTACGTATAAAGAGTTCCTTCGTGAATATCAGTTCTGTGATGCAGGTGTTTTCAACCGATCAATCCCGAGTAAAACAAAATGCACATCCCGAATTCTACTGTTAACCAATATACACCTCTGCTCAAAACCATTCAGCTGTTCTCTGTTTTTCAATAATTACAATAATTGATCACTTTCAAATAAAATCATTTTAATTTATTTGGAAATGGTTGGGAGAAAGTCCCAGGTCTGAGTCAATACACTTAAAAGTTAAGTCAGTTTGATCATAACAAAACTTGAGTGACTGAATTTAATCAACATTACTTACTTACTTACGCCTGTTACTCCAAATGAAGCATAGGCTGCCGACCAGTATTCTCCAATCCTCTCTGTCCTGGACCTTCGTTTCTAGTTCTGTTCAATTTTTGTTCACTCTTCTCATGTATATCTCCATTTCTCGACATAATGTGTTCTTTGGTCTTCCTCTTCTCATTTGACCTTGACGATTCCATCTGAGAGCTTGCCTTGTGACTGTGTTAGGTGCTTTCCTCACTGTGCATCCTATCCACTTCCATCGCTTCTTCCTAATTCGTTCCTCCACTGGAATGTGGCTTGTTGCTGATAGTAACTGACCAACGGACCCGAAGTATTTTGCATAGACAACTGGTTGATTTCGCAGTTCTGCAGGTTCGCACCCAATACAGTAGAACTGCTTTGACATTTGTATTGAAAATCCTGACCTTGGTGTTAGTTGACAGTTGTTTTGAGTTCCAGATGTTCTTCACTTATAGATTTGCTGCTCTAGCTTTGCCACTCCACACCTTCACATCTACATCATATCCACCGTATTCATCAATCATTTCGCCCAGATTTGTAAAGGTTTTTACATGTTCCAAATCTTTTCCGTCAACTATGTTTCGATTGTTGTATGCTATTCTGTATCGGAGAATCTTACTTCTCCCTTTATATATATTAAGACACTAAGAATTAAATAAATATATCATTGATTGTTACTAATTTACTAATCAATATTTATTATACTTTTATTATCAGTAATTATCGTTGTATTTGAAGTGATACTTCCTTTCCCCCCCCTTTATTTTTTGTTTTTTCTTTTTTTATATTTTTTTTCTTTTTCAAATAAACAAACAAATAAATAGATCAATGGATTTCCAACACGTCATTGGGGTTGGGGTAGTGAAGATGATGAATTTTCAGCACGTGGTTTAATATATAATTTAAAATTAACTAGACCACCAGAATTTATTGGACGTTATAAAGCACCAAGACATAAGAAAAATTCTCTATCTATGAAACATCAAAGTGATTTTATAAAATTTCGTAATTATTTACATGATGGTTTATCTATTTTAATGAATAAAAAATTTTATCATCAATGGAAATTACAATCAATTAATAAAAAAATTAATAAAATTTTAATTCATCATAAAATAGAAAAATTTCAAATTCCTTCATATTTAAATGAATGTACGCGCCAAAATATTTTTAAACAATTAAATATTACGAATTATTCTTCAATTGAAATTATTGATAATTTAAATAAAATTTCATTAGATAATATTCAATTATTAAATTATTTTTCACGTGATGATTTATTTATACATTTTATATTTGATCCAATTGATTTATATAAACAATATAAAATTTTATTAAAACCTAAAGGTAATCATACAGATGAATCTTTATGGTGGTTTCTACATTTCTATGGATGGATATAATATATCTCCTATGGGATATATATATATATATATATATATATATATATATATATATATATATATATATACAGATGTATACATTTTGCTTGTACTATACTTACGTTGATTACGTAATAGAGAAATTACAATGTCGTCACCTTCAGAATAGAGTTGTATATTGCAATTAAGAACTGAAGCAAACTCTTGATTTATATATACATATACAGATATATACATTTTGATTATTTTCCTAAAAGAACAAAAAAGAAATATGTATGTATGTATATATGAAAACCGATAAAATGGAAACTAGTAGTTAAGTCGATTTTCTACAAAATTCTTATTATTCCTTTATATTATTCTTATTTTATTTACGAATAATTAACTTTATGTGTACATATTTCTTTATATCTATGTATAATTATTATTATTATTATTATTATTTTCATACTGTACACCGGTGGTTTTGTCTATATTGAATAATTAGTAAAGAAGAAGTTCTAATATGATATACAATGTATGTTAAGTATAAGTGTATATTTATGTTTATTCGTTAGATGAGTTTTCTTTTATTCTTTATTATTTTGATGTAAATTACATATAAAGAATAGAATATAAATGGTTTATGAAGTGTATGTCTCTTTTTCGTTTGTTTGTTTGTTGCTCATTCTGATTTGTTGAACTGGTTTTATGGTTTTATGTGATTTTCAACTCTGATAATGATAAAATAACTTTCTACTCACAAGTTTAGTCACTTACTTAAATGAGAAGAATGTTCGGTCGATTGTAAAGGTCTGATCATTTTCCACTATCTAGTCTGTTCACTGTATCAGTTTGTCATATTTAGTAACTATTATAATTTGAGTGTTGGTTGAAAGATTGAAAGCTTTGATACTTTAGTTGTGCAGATAAGTTCACTTCTGTGATGAATCGTTGAAAACTTTGAAAGCACTGGCTAGCCCATTTTTAATTCAATCTACACCCATGAACTAGTTAGAGATTAAACTGAGGACATTCAGGTATCATGGAAATCACATTTTTCTAGACCACCAGATTAAAATGTAATGGTTCACATTTCCAACTTCATTTAAATTGTGGTTTGGTTCAATTGTCATCCAATATCCTTTGTGAAGCCCATCTTTTAAATATATTTGAATTTCACTATTCATGCCTTCTCGGTAAAAAGTAAAGTTTGCCACGTAATTAGTTACCTAAAATTCAAACAATCTTAAAAGATTTAGTCCATTAAAGAGTACGAAAACACTGTAAAGACGTAATAAGAAAAGGAATATTAACGAAACTACTCCTTAATTTTATTAAAACTGTTTGGAAAATATGATATAGTAGACTACCACACTAGTAACTTAACTCTCAATCATTTGATCCTATTTTACCTATCCAGATATTGCCAGTAGCTTTTTCAGAAGAACATATCTAGCTGATAATTCATTGATCAACATAGTACTGTATAACTACCTCCTGTGTTTTCATTTGCATTCTATTTACTTGCTATTAAGTTCTCCTTCATTTATCATGAAATTTAGCAGACAGAACCTAAGCGTAACACGCAAACAAAAAGAAGACAACAATACTCGCGAAATACTATTAATTCAGCGTATTTTGTTTCGTTTAGACTGTAAAAGAGGTTAGGAATCCCATTTTAACAAGGTTTTTATGGTTATTCATAACAGTCTAATAATATCTACGTTACCGTTATGTAGTATTATAACAAAGACCTAGGAAGTTGCGAATATAACCCATTGAAGAAAAAGGGGTCAAAATGTTAATTTTGCTTCTGTGATCAGGGCAAGTAAAGATTAACTACTGACTTCTTTGATGTAAAGTCAAGTTTAAGCCAGCCAATGTTTATGGCTTCAGCCAAAATTCATAAAATCAAATTGAAAGGTCTGTTAATGACTTTAGGTGCATTTATTAAGTCAATATTACACCTTGTGTTTAGCAGATGTCTTGTTATCGAGCTACAAATGCTATTTCGTCCTAAAAGGCGTAGATTCCTGGGAATATGCCTAATAAATCAAATAGAAGCCTATCTTTTCTGTCTTTCAAATGCACATGCTCTTGCATGTGCATGTCAATTGATATCCATAATGGGAGGTGACATTATTAGTTATAAATTCAGTTGGCATTGTGTGTTTGAATCTTCTCAGTGATGTTCAGGACCGTTAGCTTCAAATGCTTATCCACTCATCTGATAGCCACTTTATTGTGCAATGGGGTGAAGCTTAAATTCATTTTGGATTGGTTGTTCGAATCTTCCGGTTGATGTTTAGGACTGCAATTGATCAATCTCTTATTGAGATATTTGTATCCTGTGTTCATTGCCTCGATATTGCCTTAAGTCACAAGCTTTATAAGTAAAGATGGATAATGGTTAGCAGGAAGATAAGTGGATAACGCTATAGCGCTTGAAACGAACGGTACTGGGTTCGAGTCGTGGAGTAAACATCTTCTCTAAGATGCAGGTACATCCAACCGACTCTTCTCAAATAGAATGAATCTCGCATCCTGGATTCCACCGCTAGCCACCAACCGTCTTATATTTAGTTATGAGTAAAATCATTTCTGAAAAACATGTAAGTGCCCTTAACCTGTTGTAATGTTTCATTTTATTGTAGTATTCAATTTCAAGAACCGTCTCTCCCATTGATTCCTGAGAACAATAATAGAATTACAGCGTAAAGGGTTGTTTGCAGTAATAATTACGTAATGTGAATAATAATAATAAAATGTTGTGTGTATGCAAATAGAAAGTCTTGTAAAATTAGTAAGTTAGCAACGGATTATAATATGAATGAAATAAGATGATGAAAATGTCTTTACTACACCAAACAAAGGTAATAGAAGGGGTTAAATGAAATGATATGAGAAACAATTATGAATAAAATCATGAGGAGCATGGTATATAGGCTGTAGACAGTGCATGCTTTCAACTTGGATACACACTCATATCCCAGTATTGTTCTATATGGGTGAGGGGAAGGTAGTTGAAAGTTCCATACTTAAATATTTAATCAACTCTAATCATTCTACCAATCCACAGATTGATTTTAAGGTTGTTCGTATAGTTTGTTCAAACCTACCTAGATTTCTTTGTACCCAACTCCTTAAAACAGTAGAAACTCTCATCATTTATGAGTTGAAGCCAGATAATATGCGTACAAAAGAAGTATTTCTTATCCTTGCCGTTACCATGGTCTTCAATTATTATTATTATTATTATTATTATATTTCTTATATGAAAATGTATCCCTTTCCTTTTAATTATGTCTCATCTGCTCATGATTTTATTTATAATTGTTTCTAATATCATTTCATTTAACCCCATCTATTACCTTTGTTTGGTGTAGCAAACACATTTTAATCATCTTATTTCATTCACTTATAATCTGTTGTAAACTTATTAACTTTACAAAGCTTTCTATAACAATAATTATTCATTTTCAATAAAACAATTATTTACTGTAATCATTGAAAAATAACCATCCTTATTGTACATCCTACCATAGTTTCCTCAGAAATCAATCAATTACTGCAGAACAAAAGAATAAAGGTGAAATTCTAATGATTTTTAAATAAATAAAATATCTATGTTCATATATATGTATATAATAAATAGATGTTTTGTTATATCCCAATGAGTAGAAGAATTGTATTACGGATGTTTCGCGACCTAATGTAAGCCACTTTTCCAAAGTAAATATATATGTATCCAGTGCACTAGTTGGAACTATATGACTCGAAATCATGTCCATCAATAAAAACAAGAAATTCACGAATGATAAACGATGAAGAAGAATAGGATTGTCTTTGTGTTTAAGTGTGTGTATATGCAGGTGTATGTATGTATGTGAGTGGGTATGTTCGCCTAATTAACTATGCAAAATACAAATGTTTCTTTTCATCTGAAGTGCGAAAGTGAATGACCTAGATTCGATTCCCGCGCGCTGGATTGTGGATGGACACTGTCGATGATGAAACGTCCGTCCAAGCCTTCGACGTTTCGTTGGTTATCAGACTCAGATCAGCTCATGATTTCAATTATATAATTATGTGTTTGACGAATATGTAGAAGGTGAAGAAAAAAACTTTGAGGTAGTTATAACAACTAACTCCACCTGAAGCCCTTCGATGGTTATTACTGGTCCCTAGTCGAGATAAGGGAGGAAGGTTGGATGTGGATTTAGTAACCTCCTCCCGGAAAAAAGAACTACGTCAAAAGAACTTCAACCAGTATTAATCATTAATCAAAATTAACTCTATATCTACTAAAATATTGCTGAATTTACCAGCTATAAAGATCCAAGGTTTTTAGTTATCACGTACAGTATGATACCATTTAGTGTTTGAGCATGTAATATGTGGTCTATATTTTTATAAATCTACAGTCGATTTAATTTATGAATTCTATCTTCAGTCAACACTTAATGCATTTCTCATCTTACCCCTAATCCGTTATCTCTTTGGTGGTCTCGAATAGAGGTCTTGAGTGCTGTTAGAGGTTTGAAGGCGGTTATCACTTCCCGGTTGCCCACACTGTGGAAGGGTTCTTCTGGAGGTACCTGAAAATGAAATTGGATTAGAGGTGACCTTAGTAACCTGAGAGCGTAACTGCAGTGCCCAAGGGACAACTGCTTTAGGCTGGCCACACGACCATTAGTGAGTCATTTTTGTGTTAGCTCCGTACTTGTCGAGACCTTACCGCCGGAGACGGACATCTGTGGGATAAGGCGAGGCGTGCATTTTTGAAAATTTAGACAGTGATTAATCAATCAACAATAAGTTGTAATCTTTTGTATTATATATTTTTTGAACTAGTCAACTTTTGTTAAACTGTTGTTAGTCACTTGTTGTATAGTGACCTACATAGTACACTACTCTACCAATTAATGATTTGTTTATGAGATAAATACGCAACAATAAAAACATTTTACTAATATGGTATATTGTACAGTTAACATCATTCACTCTTTTCGTAAACAATCATTTAAACCGTTGAAATG